TGTTAAATATGAACGACACAATACCAATCTTTGTGTTTGTTAGAATTATCCGTCATACTATCAATCAATCAAAAATGAAAAAGTATCAATTTTATTTCCTTGCATTTATTGGCAGGATATATATAACAAAAAGAAGAATTATTTCAGATATTTCTTATCTTTGAGGTTGTGTTTCATCTTTAAATGAGCTAATTTTTTAATTTCTAATGTTACAATATAATACTAAATGTGATTTGAAAATGATCATATCCAAGAAATGACAAATATGGCAAGCATATTGAATTTAAAAACAGATACAAATTTAGGAAAGATTCTCTAGAAAAAAGACAATGGTAGGTTGGATTTGTAACAAGAGTGGTTTATAAGATGCAATGTATGTATGAAGTAATTTTAGTAGTAACCAAGGAATTAATCATGATTAGTTTAGGTGGAATTAAGTCTACCTAGTTATTGCATGTTGTTATGGATGTCTTGTAACCTCAAGATTGATTTTCATTCACGTTTACTTCAAATAACTTTGCACTTTGCTCATCATGATTTTAGATAATTAGTATTTTTTCTTAAAATTCATTTTTCAAACATATTTGTATATATTTTCTCTATTCATCACTCAAATTCACATACACATTGACACTCTAAGATGTTAAAATGTCACTCTTTCATTGATGAAAAAAATCTCTACATAAAAACTCTTCATACTTGCTTGAGATTCTATTCTCTAACTCTCTACTTATAGTAGTTGAAAAATTATCCTAGTAACAAGTAATTAAACTTACTTTATAAAGATAAAACATAGTAAGTTTCACTAGTTTCCAATAAATGAGAACATGACATTGGACTCATAAGTCTTCTAGATGTTTATTATTTCTTAAGTTGAGGTGATGACATATCATTTGTGCCTTTTCAATTTCTAGAACCTCCACTAATTCAACATTAGACTTAGTCTAACCAATCAAAACTTATAATGTAATCAAAGTAATAATGTAATCTTTAATATCTAAATTTTGATTAAAAAACAAAATAGTTGTGCTCACTCAATCCTTATGAAACTCTTTTAATATTCAGTAAAATATAGACATTATAGCTAAATATAGTCATAACTTGATAAACTCAGTTATAATTAGATGGATTTATTCATAAGTTACTAGATTTACTTATAACTAAGCTAACCATGATGAATTCGTTAACTATTTCTATTTCACACATCCAACAACCGATCTTAGAATCTATACTTGATAAAATAATTAAGAAAATTTTAGAATATTTGAATGAACATTACTATTTTGTCTCATATAAAAGTCTAGATTTCAAAAAATTAAACTTTGATTACAAGATTAGTTTTGATTAATTTGACTAAGTAGATAACTAAGAAGATTTTATTGGTTAGATTAAGTCTAAAATTGACTTAGTGGCATGTGGAGGTTCTAGAATTTTAAAAGTTTCAAATGTAATATTGCACACTCAATTTATGTGCAAGTAAGATTTCAAAATGTTTAGGTAAATCAATTACATGTTGACACGGATTGAAAATCAAACATATCTAAGTTTATCTTTGTAAAAATAAGTTATATGAAAATTATTGTTTGTTACTATGTTAACTTTTCGAGTAATGTAAATAGAGAGGTAAAGAAAAGTATCTCATGCAAGTTTTGAGTATTCATTGTGTGAGTACTTGTTTCATCAATATAAATTTGAGTTGCATTATCTCTTTTGAATTATCATTGAATGTTTGTGATTGAGTGATGAGTGAAGATTTGTGTGAGAGTGTGTTTTGAACACAGATAAGTTGAGCTATATTTACCTTCTAGAAATATAATGCGCTTTTACAAAGAAATCTAAGTTAAACTTGAGTGAAAATGAGCCATGAGATCACATTTTTTATCATGTTGCTGTGAATTCAATCTAGAAACAAAATATTTTGAGTTCAATTTCTTGTTTGAGAAAAGACGATAATGAAAGTACATATAAATCTATCGTTGGAAATTAAAAGAACGGAAGACATGCGTGAAAGTAGGATATACTTTGTGTATTTTGTAACTCTTTTGATACCTTAAAACTAACTTCGTACATTTTGTTCATCTAAAAAAGGTTTTTTGGTAAATGGAATGGATTTGTAGACCAAATTTTTTTTTGGAAAGTATATTTCAAAAATTTTAGTGATTATAAAGTGGAAGGTGAGATTTATTTTAATTTTTATTTCAGGTCCAAATGTTTTATGTAGTCAAATTTATGAATTTCAAAACTTCAAGAGATTTTGACTAATATCAAAGATAAACTGTCAAGAAAATTTGTAGAGAGTTGATTAGTTTATTTGTAGATCTCAACAAATTTATGAAACTTTGCAAGATTTTAGAATTACAAGTTCAAGTTGGATCAAACATTCTAAATTTTCAAGAAGAAGTTTACAACAATGCATTTTTTGATGCATATTGATTTTCAAAAGCTCTTCATCTAGAAGCAGATGCTTCTGACTTTGCGTCTCCATCTTGCTGCGCTTCACTTGCAAAAACATAATGCCGAAGAGATGAAATATGAGATCCACAACATACTTTTAGCTGTTATCCACTTGTTTTAAGAGGAGAATTTTTTTTGAAGTAGAGATGAAATATGAGATCCACAACATACTTTTAGCTGTTATCCACTTGTTTTAAGAGGAGAATTTTTTTTGAAGTAGCTCAACATTCGGTCACGGTGTATACCAATCATAAGATGATTTTGATTGCCATGTTTGCCAAGTTACTAAATTAAAAATAAGACTGTTAAAGTTTATTGCTTTTGCACTTCATCTTTTTCATCACGTACCGTATCAATTCCTGGAATATCCCATCTTACGTTTTTCTCAACGAGCGTACTAAGGAGATGAAACTTGAAACTAGGATATGATTAGCCTTATCAAGCTTGAACAACTTTAGCTTACATCCAAGGAAAAAGATGCACCTTACGAGCAACAAAAGATTAACCTGATCAAGCCTTAACAAAGTTAAAAATTGTTCACAGTTCACACGTTCATTGTTCTAAGATATCCAAATAATTTAAAAATTTGATACTTTGTCCTTGAGTTAAAAAGCAATGTTAACACCTTCAATCTTGAAAAATTCCCATGTCCAAACTCCCAAATCTTTAATTTAAAGGTTAGAGATTTCAAATACTCAAATCAACCAAACTCAAATTCATGGATTTCCAAATCGCATGAAACATCCCGAGATGATGATGACCCAAGATTTTAGTTTCAAAACGGTATGTTATATTACGAAGAGTTCAATATGTATCTAAATTTTCATGTTGACTTTCAATCTCGGCACAATTTTCCATCAGAGGTACATTTTGATTACAACAAAACCATGAAGCTGATATCTAAAGATTTTTAATGATCTAAATGGGAAAAAAATATGAAAAATATGTCAACAAGTGACACGTGCTTCAGATCTCCAATATCGGTTATACATGTTACTTCAAACATTGTCAATTCAAAAAATATCATAGATATACATATTCATGAACTTCATTGTGCACCTTCCAGAGTTTAAATATTTGAAATAGTGTTTGTTGTACTAGACCGTTGCACAAATATGACACACATAATTCTCATTCAAGTTTAGGCAATCCTTGTTTTTTATCTTATAAATTAAGATCAATTAATCTTAGACATATCAACTGTTTGAGTATGTACAATCAAATAAATGAATCAAGTTTTGGAGCTCAATTTAAAATGATTCATCAACTAGAATAAAATTGCATCTATATCAAGTTGTAGAGTTTGCCTAAAATAATACATTTCAAAACTTATCCATCAAATTTTGTTATTTGCAAACTATGGATATCATCCACAATTTGATTCTTTAAATTTGAATTTGGCAAACAATCCAATTGTGCAAGATCTTGTTATCAGACTTTCATAGATCTAGCGAGAAATATTGAAAACTTAATGCTGATCTTGCAAACGCTCCCAAAATGATAAAAAAATTTTCTAGTCAATCCTTGAAAAAAATCCAATGATTAAAGGTTTTTTAATCCAACACTTATAGACAAACATGAACATCAAATCAAGCTTTAGCCATGTGATTATCACATGAACTTCTTCAAATAGATTTTTTGTTTTTCATAAGATAAATTGAACAAGTTGTGGAACTTCTTGCTTGAAGAAAATGATAGCATGTACATGATATACAATAGCCATGACGGTGTGGAGAGTGTGCCAACTTTCTAACATTTTGTAAGAGTTGATTTTTTCTAACCTTTGAGTAACAAGTAACAAATTAGCAGCATATATAAAGTCTTGGGACATTGTAATTTACTCTCCAATTAACACCAGTTATATATTTTTTGATTTATAAATATTATTTTCATTTTTTTATTTCAAATATACTACTACTATATTTTTTCCAATCACTTCGAGTACTATTTTGAGTATTGTGTGAGTAAACTTCTCACTTTTGATCTATTTTGGTATTTCTTTGATATATTATTTCAATCTAGTCTTTCGTTCTATCATAAAATTAACATCTGCAACAAATTCTCAAATAACCATAGTGAATTTGCTAATTAATACAGTGTTATTGTCATACTTCATTTTGTGAATCCAATAAAATTTCTTCATAAAGTAATGTTATTTCAGCCGTAAGTTTCATTATATTGAAATACACTCATAGTGGAATTTTGTTTGTGGTTTTACAACGCCATTTACATACATTTAACGGGAAAGTTTGAACGTGACATAAACCTCCAATATTGAATATACTGTTTCCATAATCCCAAATGTCAGAGCAAAGGTATTTGCACCTCGAATGTATATTGTAGCAAACATATCACGACTTGGTCTTGGAGATTTCATTGTCCTCAAGTTAGATCTGAGAAACCCAAAATCACGAAAAGGATGGGAAGACGAGAAGAAAGGATTTGCAGTTTCTGTTACACTAGTGGCACCTCTAGAGGTTTACCTTAGCCCACCCAAAGGATCGGGAGTGCGATCTGTCCGGTGAGTCCGGTAAGCGGTGGTGGACTTCCGCCATTCCGGAGGTAGTTGAAGCTCATTGACATCGTTGACTATGTTTCTTCTACTTGAGCACCACACTCACCAAACAAATCATGGTGCAAATCTCCAGTGATCAATCGTCCAAAATGATCCTGGCGCAATGAGAAACTTTAGCTGCTGATCTACTCCACTGTCCTGCTCTTTAGCTCGAGAGGACCGTGGGCCTTTGGGAGCTGGACTTTGGTGAAACCTCACTGCACTGAGCTGGAGAGAGCGAGCGAGAGAGTGTGTGCTCTGTACGAGCAGCAGTTGGGCTTGTTGCTGTTGAGGAGCTTGGTGTAATTATGGGACCGCTCAGTAGTTCTCTGGAAGGTAAAGAGAGTTATGCGGCCAGTCTGTTAGTAGTGAAATTGCAGCTAAGGCCTACTGCTTGTGGTCTATCTGTTTTCTGCTGTAATAATTTCCTATTTCGGGGTTTGCTGTTATGCATCAGAAGCCATCTTCCAATTTTCTCTCGTTCTGCTGTGTCTGCTGAACGGGTGAGCTGTACCTCTACTTTTACGAAATTGCCCAGCTCCTAGGAATGATAGGCTGCTTTGGTTTGTGAGTTCAAGGGAAAATATGGCCTGCAATATCAAGTAATTAAAACCTTTTAGTCGGTTTTTGCCTGGATCAGTGACAAAATTATTTGGTTCAAACAAATTTTGTCCTTTCTATGTGATGCTAGTGAATTTGATATCTAGTGGAGCTTGGGCCAGTTCTATCTGGACGCTGGAGTTGCTGCTTCATTCATTTGAAAATTAGAATTCATCTGGTTGGCTATTGTTGATGTTTGAAATTTGATGTGGAAATCGGGACATTGTCATTTCCTTAAGGTGTGATTGCCATGACTGTTTGATCAGAAGCTTGAGAGATTTGAAATGCGATGGAGGATGAAAGTTTTTCGAACTATCTGATTTGGAGCGATGGAGAGTACTCGGAGGTTCCAGCGATGCAAGATCCTGGATCGATGGGTTGGAAATTTCCTGCCAATCATCACTCCATGGATTTTAATCCCCTCGGGCTTTGGAGTGTTTTCAGCGTTGCTGCAGGGCTGTGCTGACAACTCTCTACATGATGTAGTTCTCTTCGTAGGTACGACTTGAGCTCTGTCACAATTATTATTCAGACGTTTGCTTCAGAGTATTCTGTCCAATCGTAACCAATTCAAGGTCCACTCCCTGAAGATGAATTAGTTCAAACCAAACCAGGTCCTCTTCATACATTTCTTTTTGTGAAGTAATGGTTGCATGATGGCTTTCATGGATTGTGAAATTTATTCGAAATCAATGATCTCTCATTCTAATCTAAAGTGTCACTAATATTTTCCCTGTCATGTTGATGTCCAATCAGTACTTCCTGTTGGAGTGTGGTTTATAATTTCTCAGCTCTGTGGTAAGAAGATTCTTGGGCCAACATCTGCGCCTTCATCAGTAGCCGCGCTGATCGCCACCATGTTTGCAACATATTTTTGGAGAGTATCTTCTGGTATGCCTACACGTGCCAGCATATCACTTTAAAACAAAAGCTTTGTATCTAATCGGGTCTCTTTTACTTTGCTCCTGCTCAAAATATAATGAGGAGAAATTAAAATTGATCTAGCTAAAAATGACATGAGTGGAGAGATTTTAGGTGCTGATCTTGTTGAATGGGAGACTGTTGATTTAATATTTACTCGGGAGGAATGCTATTAGTGAAAGTGTGGTTTTATTCAGTGTTTTCAGTGTGATCTAATATGTTGAAGGTTGTCAAGATTTCACCTAGTACTCAGCCTGATAATATATACCTTGCTGGGTTTTACATGTTTGGCCTAACAGTTATGAACAAGTTTTTCAGTGTGACATTTGGTGTACTTTGCATATTCCTTGCAACCATGTTCTGGAGGTGGGTGATTGCATCCCTCTCAATAATGTGTTATTCCCGTTATGACTTTGTTCTGTCATAGCTTTTGCCAAAAGCATTATGATTCATTGATTGTTAGCAAATAAGTCTCTCTATACTTAGGACACAGTTCGCTCTTGTCCTTTCTGTTACCTAAGACAGATCACCCAGTCAAAGAATAATACCTTGGATCCCACACGTCATGTGTCACAGAATGATCAAGAGCAATCCAGGTCGGTTGGTACCTGATATATCTCTTGCAAGTGTACCGTATTATCCCAGTCGTTCTTACGGTGACAAGAACGAAAATTTCCAAGTTCTGGTGAGTTTTGTGGAATCAAACTTCTTCAAGTGCAGATCATTTGCGTATAAAATTTTCAGTATCTTCACATTCTCTCACCTTCTTGGAAGTCAGCTAAAATATGTTCTGGCCATGTGGACTAATAGGATGTTCCACGTGCAGTTCAGTGTCGTGGATCTGTGCGGGCATTGGCCACTTCAAACGCATACATGGAGGTAAAATCCTGTAATAAATGGCACATGGTCATCCTGTTGTCAATGTCCGATACAGTCATTGGATTTCCAAGTTTTGTTGTAGTCTCCCGGCCAAGTTGAACTCTGGATAAATTCTTTCTTTATTGTTTTTGTGATTTCATGGGGAACAGGGGATTCCATTATTGAGATCAAAACATTGTAAATACTGTAATGTACCAGTTGAGCGTTATGATCATCACTGCCCAGCCATCTACAATTGCGTTGGTGAGGAAATTCATACTTGCTGAATTGTTGGTCGTTAGTGTAACTTTTTTATGAAATATGTGAAATCTTATGATGTGTGATGCTCGTGGTGCATAAATTTTAAGATCTTGTACATAATGACATTATTTCCGAAGCGTCATATTATCAGAAGCAAAGTGTTTTAAGAGTCGTCAGGCTAGTAGGATTTCAGGGCCATACCTTCTAAATATATCATGCACGTGATGCTTTTCTCATTAAAGAATGACAATGCCATGTGAGACATTGCAGGGCGTAGAAACCATGTTCTATTTTTAAGTATGATGGCGACATTTGTTATCGCCGAAGCATTATATTTGGATGCATGCTATACCTGTAAGTATTCCGTCGCTGGGGCGAGTGAATGCTTGACTGATCTTTGTGATGGAACCAATTTTTTATGAGGTAGTAACTAACTGTTTAGAAATAGAAAGTCCATTTGAAATAAAATGATTGTGGTTTCTTGATCAGATTTACTGGCAGATCCTGGTATGTCTGGTTCGAAGACAAGGTTAGATGGAGGTGAGTCCACCATTTATTGCGAGAAAATTCTGATGTTCATGCTTAGACGTTATTATGAATTTTTTGGCTTATTACAGTTAAATCTTTAGCACCTGACAGTGCTGTATTTTCTGGTTCAATGTATCTACTGAGATAAATGAAGAAAAGAACATCTGTTGTCAGATCTCCTCTTCAGCTTTGTTTTGTATCGCCGTGATGAATGGTCATGGTGTGCCCTCTTGATCAATAGGTTGATAAGAACAAGCTATTTCGACAATTTTGGTGCTTAATGGCGAAGAGAAAAATATACCGGTGCCAAACTTACTCAGTGACATTGAATCCCATATTTTTGCAACAGGTCTTGAAGATAGCATTGAAAACTGGGAGTGGACTTTAGCGCTTCAGGTACTTCCTACGATAAGCTTCACAACTCAAAGAGTAGCTTCCACTATAAAGGGGAGCTAAGAGATTCTAGCAAACTTTGTTTATATAGCACTGTATCCTTTAACTCTGATCTCAAGAAAAGTTGAGGTCTCATGAATCTTGTCGCTAATGCACTGCACCGGTTATAATCATGTGAAGATCTTGCGGGGCAAGTCATGGGTACTCGGCACCGCAGTCGTTGCCTTCATACAGATATTGTGGCAGGTGTGTTATGACCGTCCGTGGTTGTTTCGCTTTATGAATCTTTAATCTTCATGTATTGCAATTACTCAGGACAGCCTGTCTGACAAGTTTAAGGATAAATTATTCTACGACGTACAATATAAAAATCTGCTAGGTATGTCGTTGTCACCTCTGGCTCATCTATTTCTGCTTCTCTCGGGCAGATCCCTTTTATTGGATTTCACATCTATTGTGCGTGCATCAACCTCACCACCGATGAGTTGGTAAGTTCACACATGATTTTGGATTCTTCAACTCATCTCCAGTTCTTCTTTGTGAGAAATTTGAATGTTTGAATGGCTAGATTTAATTAACTGAATAAGAGATATCTGAAAAAGATGTTGCAGTGGAAGACAACCTTCAAATCTTGTCTCAAATGTTCTCAAAATAATGTTATAGTTTCAAGTACTTCACTGCCATAGTAGCCGTGGGTTGGTTAGGAAAAGGATGGTTATCGTTATAACGAATACTGGGGACTCTGTTATCTATAAACTTTACGTCTGTAAAGTTTATAGATAACAGAGTATGGTTACTGCCCTCATTAGATTAAAAATGTGCTCCTTTCACCACATAATGGGTTCGGCTGGTACTTTATCTTTTGGAGGGAAGTTGCTAAGCGTTCATAAGTTTGTTCCTGTGGAGAATTTTACTTTGTATACTTGGATTGGTTGGATGATTCTCTGGCTTTTCTTTCAAGAGGTGAAAAATGATTTCAAATGTTTTGACAGAATGTTTTCGTGTATTTTGTTGAAGCAAAGCGTTTCCTCGTCTAAAATAATTATTTTTTAAACCGTACCGTCGTTTCTGTCTATCTCAAAAGGTTGACTGTGCAGGAGTGCAAATATTTATTGACACCAGTTGTTTAAGTTGAGGTTATATTTGCATCATGAACTTGAGACCCCTCACACTGACACAGCGTATTCTTCGGGGGTTTCTGTGCGCTTGTAGTTTCACTGGCAGACATACGTTGATTTACACGTTGAAACACCACCGGAACCAGGTAATTAGCTTCTATCTAAATCAAACCTATTCTTTCTTGCGCAAAGTCTGCTCAACAGTGTTTGCCTCAACTGGTAAAGTAATTTTATGAAATGTTTTTACAGTGATATATTAATTTCAAGTAACAGCTGAACCGAGGTATTCATGTTTAACACGTCCCCTGACCAGTATTCTTATCACAAAGATTGGCCAAAGCTTCAGGCCGTGATAGTTTTCAGTTCAGGAAGACGATTGGACCTGAGTGTATGATCGCTACATTTCATCCCTTTGCAGTTGCCCAGGAAGAAAACACTTACTCGCCATCTAAACTTGAATTTTAAGGACACCACACATTGCGAGTAATGAGCTAGAAACATCAGTAAATAGATGCAGCAAATGAATTGCTTTTGATATTACACGATGTTCTTGAGTACACCAGTCAAGCGTATGCTGCATTGTCCTAGGCATTATTGATAATGCAGACCTTGTCTGATGCAGGTCTACCTCGAGGGGGTATAGAGTTTTTCAATCCGTATTGTAACGGGATCAGAAACAATCTTGCCAGTTTTCTGCGGTCATGATTGTGGTGTGGTTATCGGAAAGATTGAAACAATTTTTGCGCTGGAATATAGAATTCTGGTAGACACATGCTTCGGGCATATTTAGTTTGATTGGACGATCTGGTTCCGGCTGATCTAGATTGACGAAGACTGTTTAGTGTATGATGTTTTCTCTGTAAGTTAAATTCCAAGTACATGAGTCCTGCTATTGAAGGCATATTATACAGAATGGCCGGTGACAATTGAGAACTGACAAAGAGGTAATTAGCTCAGCTCAGTTTGAAGTGCATCAAAGTTTGAGTATTTAACTCCGTCCATCAATGAATGAACTTCTTTTGAACTTCTGGACTGAAACTGGAATGTGTGAGTCTCGAAGGGCACTAATTTGGATATGCCAGTGGAGAGTGCTGGATGCAACACATAAGACAGGAGTGAATGTCGACTATTCGGTTCACCTGGTCAAACTTGAATTTGCCCAAATTCTATCTACGTATTTATCATGAGCGGCAAGAAGAACGCAATACCTGCAAGTAACCACTGCTGCTTCTCTTCCTCAAGGCATGGGACCTGGACATCTGTAACAAGTTTACATCTTGCAAGGCTGTCGTATAATGGCACGGAGATGAACGAGTTGTAAAAAGGCTGAGTGTCAGCGTGCACCCAAGCAAATGTGCATCGGGGAACGATAGACAACGTTGGAGTCTCTAGAGCAGTCTTGGATAAACTCTGCCCATCAAAAGTTGCCCCTTCAATCTGTAACAAGGTTGTGATGGGAGTTAAGCCAGAGAACCCGGACAGAAGACTTGGATCCCACAAAGTGACAAGTTTCAGTTTGTCCAGTGTCGTGTGCAACCTCCACGCAGCTTGCTGACAAACTGCGCTGAGGAACGCCCGTGGGTTGAAAAATGTCGAAGGATCAAGAGCCTCCACTTGCAGGCCATTGGAAGACCTTAAATCATCGTACCTGATAATTCCTGATACCCGTTGCAGTACTGCCTTCAGATACTCCAAAGGCTCATCAGGACCTTCCCAGATGTTAGTCCAGCATTCCGGAACATGCCCGGATACTAATCTCTGGCAATCATCCGAAACTCGTTGCGACATGTGTTGAGTGCCTGGTTTCAGGGCGTCTACTATTGCAGCAAGAACCAATTGGATAGCAAACAGGATGCTTTCCGCAGTCTCCAACTCCAGCACTAAAAACGTGCAGATGGGGAACAGAGGGTCCTTGCGATGACCGTCGTGCTTACTTGCCAAGCTTCTAGCAAGTCTCAGCAGTGCACGTTGCATGGTGCTGTTGTAGAGCTGTAGTAAGGGAGAGAGATGAACTCTCAGGTGTGACTTTTGGTCCACCTTACCTGCTGTCAGACGGACGGTAGACATTGCCTTCAGCTGTGTTATCACCATGCAACCACTCTTTTCCTGCAAGGAGCTGATGATGTTGGGAGGTAACCCGAGAACAGCAGGTGAGTTCAGTTCTCCAGTGCTTGAGATGTGTTCTGCATAGTCTGCATAGCCTTCTGTCAAAGGAGTATCTCGAGTCGAGGGAAGTCTTGAATTCACATTCATCTCGGTTGCAGCAGTGAGGATTGACAGCACCTGGCTGCAATCAGCACCGCTGTCAACCACACGGTGTGCAAAGTACCTGCTCACGTATTCTTTCAATACTGCCTTGTCAACTTTGTTGTCGACCCGTCCACCATAGATCACATCGGTGAGTAAGCCTCGGAAATGCGGCAAGTGTGGCTGTGAGAGCACTGATTGGTGCTCGTCAAGCATGAGACGAAGTAAGTCCGCACCGAATCGAAGGTCTGCAAAGCTGAACTCGTAGAACTTCGTCCATCCCTGTGGGACGAAGGCACAGCGTTCCTGAACCACTGCGTGCAATATGGTGAGCAGGTACAGTAAGCGCTCCTCAAGTGGATTCCTCAAAGCCAACTGTGGACTCGACGCTTCGTAAGCTTTTTTAAGCTTATTTTTCAACCCTGGGGGAGGCTCGATTGTGATTTTCAATGTGGCCTCCAGAAGGCTCCGTGGGAACAGTTCATGAGGCTCTGTTGTGAGCCACAAGCGGAAGTTGGAGTGAGGATTCAAGCGATGTATTTCCTTTTCCAGCTGCGGTAACCATGAAACAACTAGATGGAGATTTTTCAGGCAGACCCAAGAGCCAACTTTGGCACTTTCTTGCAGAAGTTTCAGAGCTTCCTGGGCTTGACCTTGTCCCATGGCCAGCTGGTGATAATTTGAATGGCCCACCTTGTGCACAGCAAATTCTTCCAGCTCAAGAGATGGATCTGCTCCTGGTGCTGTGATCAACAAAACAGGGACGCTTGCTATCGTCTCTTCTGAAAATAAGTTGCCCAGTTCTACAGGAGGACTGAAGAAGGTCTTCAGACCCAACGCCGAGACTACATACAACTGCATTGCAGGCTCCAGTCTCTCCGGACGAAGTGCTTGAATCAACAGCAGTCTTTGAAACGAAGTCAGATTCATTGCTATACTCGGAAACTCAGTTTCACAGACGTTGCTCTGTGTCCATGGCGTCCAAGTCCTAGCACTCTGCATGTTGAGGGAGTGCAAGAGTCCAGGAAGATGAGTCTTGAAGTAGTTGTAAGCTTTAATCCGTGATGTCGGTATCCAACTGGGCACTCCCCCCCTATCTGTACCCAACAATGTCATGTCTACGAGCATCTCATTGGTCGCCAGGTGTTGGATAAAATATGTCAGCTCAGCTCGTGTGGGTTTCTCCTTGGATGTTATATTCACAGCCATATGCATTGCAAATGTCAATCGATCATTTTTGTACAACGATCTGGAGACGTGGGAATACATAAGCTCCACCAACTGCATAGACATACTCTGGATATAACTCACCTCTTCATCTTCACTATGTCGCCCTCTCGGTGTGGTATTACGGCTGATCGATCGAGATTCCCTCGTCAAGATCAGTGCCCTTTCAAAGAGCTGGAAGTACAGACTGAGGCCAAAGCAGTACATGGGACTGAGGTTGACCAAGTCCTGAAGCAAAAAGAAAATCAAACTTCCCAAGTTGGCGTAAGGTTCAAAAACACGACTTTTTGCGTTCAGAGTCTCTTGCAAACTAGCGAGATCTTTCAAAGATCTGCTGATGTTCGCGCTTTTTATTTTTGTCTCGTTGAGTGAATCAATGAGAACTTGATTCTCCAGAATATCTCCTTTTGAAGATGACAGCTCTTCCAAAAGCTTCTTCTCCAGATCCAGAAGCTGCAGACGAAGCTTCTCCTCCGACTGCAGTATTGGGAACATTAGATCAGATTAATTCAGCTGGGAGCATCTTGATGACTGACTGGCAGCTCGTACAGCTGATCAAACCGAATGTTGTCAAACTTCTGCTACGAAAATGTTGAAGGTTGAAAGGTAAATTGTGCTATATGTAAGTAGCTCAATGACAGAAGTAATGCCATAATTGAGGTGTGCTAGTCTACCTTAAATGTATTTATCAGATTATAGGATGCATGTGTATTCCATGACTATGCAGTTCCTGCTGCCGAGGGTGCTATCGGTGACTCAAACGATATTCGTTGAGTCTTACCTGGATGAGTTTGCTGTTTTGCTCTTCGAGATCCGGTCGTTCCTTGCGGAGAGTGAGAGCTAGCAGCTGTTTCTCTAGCCCAGGCTGGGTGACAGTGAAGTTTGCTTGTAAGAACAGAGACAGGGTGTCAGGGGGAACAGTTAAATGAGATTGTCGAGTGATAAGATAAAGTTGGAAGTTCTCGTCAAAGTCGACTACTTTGCCACCAACTCTCACAGTCCATTTGGAATTCTGGCGTTCAAGATCGTTCCTGAGTAGAGGGAACATCAAGGGCTCAATTTCATCCACATCTTGAACAATCAATGCTTTCCCAAAACGCACTGCAAGTTGAAGGGCTGTTGTAAAACGAGTTTCTTTCTGCCCCACGACCTCGAAGGGAGTGTTCAGTGTTGCGAAGCAGCTTATCAGCCACTGGACAGCTTGACCCAAGGGATCAACGATCAATCGACACTTCTTGGTGTGATTGACCGCAATTGCACTTTCAATAGTCGTTTCATTCGAAGGAAGCCCTGCTGTCTTCCAAAGAAGTGTCTCACTTTCAGTACTCATGAACCTTCTGAAGCTAAAGGGTTCAGACTCAGTTCTAGATGTCGTCGTTGGGTACGCTGCACGTGGAGTCTTAATTTCGAGTCCGCCTTGATACAGGGTTTGCCACTGTGAGACCATAGTATGACGATAGTCCTCAGAAGCTGGAACCAAGTATATTATGAAAGCTGCTGCCATAAGAGAAGAGAATCCAAGCTGTGCAATCTCTTTCTCCAGTTCTGTGACCTGTATAGATTGGTATATAATCTTCAGTAAGGCGATACAGAAAATTGAACCTTAACGTAAAGGCTGGGAATGGAGATAGGAAGGAAGTTCGACAGAAACAAAACCTACAAAGCGATGTGAAAACATGGCAGACAAGAAAGGATTCGTTTTCGAGAGCATTGAGTCTTACGTGATTTTCCCATCGAAGTTTTTCGCCACTAAGTTTCGCTAGAAGTTCCTTAGCGGAAGCAACCTTTGAAGTAGCAATCTGAAGATTTAATTTTAATGCTTCTGCCTCGCCTGTGCGAGTGCTAAACTCCGCTTTCAAAGCTGCAACATTAAGATCAACCCCATCCAGGTCCTGCTCGCACTGCTGTATACGCCGCCTTGAAGCTTCCAGAGGTTTAGTCAGCTCTTTGATGTGTTCTTGTAAAGGTCGGATTTGATCCAATACAAGTGCGTACTGCAGGTTTGCCTTCACCCAAGCTGGATGGGACAGCCAAACACAAGGTCAATGTGTGTTTTATGGGAGGAAAGGAAGGAAGGAAATTCACCGCAGAATAATCTGCTAAGTTTCTTAGAGAAGACCAAGGTTGACCTGCTAGAGGGGCAGCAGCAACGCTGACGTGATAGATCGTAGCATGATCGAATGAAGAAGACTTCCTGCTGATGAGCTTTTGAACATCTATACAAAGCTCTTTTTTGACCTTGCGAGCGTCAAAATTCATGATCTCCTCCTTGACCGTTCGTGACGCGAGAAATTTCTTCATGTTGAGCCAAGATGTGTCGTAGTTTCCCATTATCCGGAGTACTCCTTCTAGTACATCTCTTATAGCGTCTGGTGGTATTTTCAAAGACCGAATTTCACTGTGGCGCAGGAATTTGTAGTGATTAGTATGCGGTCGAGGAAGAATTTATTCATCAGCAGAGTATGAGTAGATCTGCAGTTAATTCGTGTGATTCTGTAGAAGTGGTTAGAGCTTCAGTTCAAGAGCATCGAACCTACTTCAAATGGTCGCTTTTGATTTGGCCCACAGCTTTTCTCGCAGCATCCACTTGGGGTTGCACCTTCCTTAACTCATCCTCCACACTTTCCTTCTGAGCCTGTAATTGAGCTTCCTCGTTATGAAGCCCCGATTTAAGGTTTTCTACCTCTGCCTTGTTTGCAGTCAATGATTGCATTGACTGGGTAATCTTCTGGAGTGATTCCTCAGCCTGTCTCTGTTTGGCTACCAAAAGCTTTTCCTGAACAGCAGCCTCTTGAGACAACTGCTCCACTTGCAAGGCACCTACTGCTAGCTTGCTCAATCCCGTCTGCAAGTTCAAAAGGAGAGAGTGCGGTCTTCCTTCAGTTTTGCATTCCTTTCGATCGACATTTGAGTATTATCTTCACATTCAAAATATGTCTTCTGCTAGTCAATTCCGGTGATGTATCAACACAAACAGTTTCTGAGCTTGTGAACAGTCAAGATAAAACATTGATATCTTGGGTGGGAATGCTAAACTAAGGCTTTGCAGAAGCTGCCCTTTCAAGTCCAGCTTTGCACAGCAGATGGGATTCAAGGGTTATCAATGTTCTGCTATGCTGCAGTTCCAGAAGGACAAATATCACTTCGATATCACGCTGCTCCTTGTGCGACTTTACATTACGAAAGATAGTGAAATCAGTTAATGCATGGTACTGCACCTGTAAATGTAACATCTGAGATGTTAGATCTGCTTTCTTTCTCGAAAACATAGTTGTGAACTCTTCCACGAATGCAACAAACTGGCTAGAGCTCACGGAAACCTGAGTTTTCACAACACTTCTGTGAATATCCATCATTATTTGTTCAAGATTCTTGTTTAGTTCACCATCAAGTTCAGGTTCCGGGGCCATTCGTAACCTAGAATGAAGGAACTCCAGCATCCCTTTCTCAGACCAGCTGTCAACACGCAATATTGTGCACTTGCTGACAACGGCTGAACACTTCTGGAGTCGTGCTTCATGATCTGGATGTCTGGTATTCAAGCTCAAAACGATATGAAGGTTTGTCTGAACCTGGAAGCATTTCATTCTTTAGTTGAGGACATAGTTCTTGCATGCAAGCATGTTCACAATTCAGCAGATAACAATACTCAATTCTCGTCTCATCCTTGGTGATAAAATTCTAGAAGAAAAGGCTCCAAACGAAGTGATCGATCATGTAATATTCATATAAAACCATTAGGTCAGCGATGATCAAATGAAGTTTATGAATATTTTCATTTTCTGAACTCCGTTGCAGGAGTTGATTGGGATGTCTCGTAGATGTATCACAAGAGTGATTGATATCTTTATTTACTCTGTTGGATGAGCCATAGCTTGCTACCACTACCCATTACCGTCTTGTATGCTATGAGATGTAACACTAAGAACTGACTCAACTCCAATTTTCTGCAATGAGGTCTCAAAATTAAGACCGATATCTGAAGTACTTCATCGTTAGCAAGGTGTGTACTATGACATGCAGTATAGATTTCATGATTTCCGGCAGATTGAACTCTTAAATCCCTAAATCTAGAAACTCAAACTCAAACTCACACAACTTCGTCTGTCTAGTTTCGTTGTGACTAAAATTCTCAGAGCTAGTGCGCTTTCTCAAACTCCACGTTGCCAAGAAATTTCAGTTTCACTTGACATTCCACCTCAAAGATAAAGCATCTGCAAAGTTAAGATTAAATTTCAATCTTGCAGGAAACCATATCTTTAAAGTGGAGTGTTGATTGAACCTGAAACTTCTTGACAACGTGGATTTTGAGAAGCCGCATTGGCCCTGATAAAGACTCAATAGCCCAAAGTGTCGAGGTGTTTTTGTAAAATAATACCATCACGTGCTAGTAGTATGATATACTCTGCAGACAATAGAGCATACAAATGAGTCACTAATTCTGAATTTAATACTAAGTTGAGGAACAATTGTGGAACCCTACTTCAGCCCTTGAGTAAATCCACAATTAAATTCCATCATGTTATTAACTAGCTTTAACTTTTGACTTGTGAACAATTAACAATTCAATTCACTAATATCGTGCTAATACAGAGATGAACTCCGTTCTTAACAAATGATTCATGTAAAGATACTAAATTCAGCCGAATATAGATGACGTATTGTACTAAAGAGACATAGAGAAGAGCAGTAAACAATAATAATAAAGAAGCAGTAAAAACAGTAAAATACAGTGATGAAGAAGAGCGAAATGAGCTCATTCGCAGCGTTAGTGGGCATGAGATTGTAGCTGGACGTTCCGACTTTATTATACACTTACTCTGGATATAAAGAAGGACAACAGATTTTGGTGCTTGAAACCGTCGCGAGCCATCAGTTCCTGGAGCGGTGCCATGACCACCTGGAGAAGAAAACCAAGGCTATCAAGCTAGATAGCTTATCCAGACGGCTTACAGTCTAAATGTTCAATTTGCGAGGAGTGAAAATACATGCCACCAGCTCTAGTTGTCGCTCTACACGAGCTCATTAACCAAACCCAGGAATTCTTTGAGTAGTCTCCTTATGTTGTGTCTTGTATGGACCTAAACTGGAAAAGAGAAAGAAGAGAAACTTAAGAGGAGAATTATACCTGTAATTCATCAGTTGAATACAAACCAGAAATACCCTCAACGCACAAAAGGGAATCCACAATGTGTAGAAATGACAAGTCTACCAACTGGTAGTCCTCCAAGAAGAAAACAATCTGCAAAGCACAGCTTCAACTGGTTAAAATATATGTAAGCAAGGTTGGAGAAGCAGAAGGCACTGTCAACAAGAGGTTCAAAATACTAGTCATTCTGATATATCTAGCAGTAATGCTCTGCTTTTCAATGATGAAACCTATGCATAAAGGTTTGCCCACCGGTCTGCCTTCGATGCCAGCAGTTTGAACTACGGATTTAATGTCCATCTGGAAAGATCGTAGATTGTAACTGCGGGTCCACGTATACACGTCAATCATAAAGGAGAATTTGACTTCAAAGTATTGACCACTTTCAGATAAGAAGTCACTCTTCTTGCCTCTTATTCTAGTTATGGAGAATTCAAAAAGGCAAGAACGTATGTTCAAATAAAAATAAAGAACATCAAAATACTAATGATAAAATTTATAATAATTAAATTGGATTAGAATAGAAAAATTTGGATGTAATAAAAATATTTTGAATTAAAAAGGAAATGGTTTTTTCGTAGGCTGTACTCATGTTAAGAATATTGCAGACGACTTAACTGAAAATAGAAGTGACCCACCTCCGGGAAACAGAAGGAGAAAACAGCTCCATTGAGTGCATGAATGCAGCCAGAGACAGGCAAGAACGTCGCCCAACACCGTGACTTCCAAGGACTAAAAGTGGTCCACCAGGCGATGACAGAGCTCGATCCATTTTAGCAATCCTCTGCAGAACCTGTTGTTTCATCCGCATGACCGAGATAAGATAGAGGCATATATCAGTGAGACCGAGAATAAAATAAGGTATGGAAGGCCCGTGATACCGAATGCGTCTAACAGTACGCAGATCTGGATGTGCGTAATGTTGGACTAGCAGCTTATGCTTGTATCTTTATGTTATGAAATTTCACCAAACTCTCACCAGTAAGAGATATTCAGACAAGTAACTGAGACCTTGAACTTAATAGACTTTGTGATTCTAAGAACAGTTTTCCCGTAGAATGAAATTTAACTCCAAAGATTATATGTTTTGCAAAAAGATATCGCAGCCATTCAACATATGTAACGAGCCAAAGCAGAAAGGGAATTGTGAAACCTTTCTGAGAAGTCAAGAATCTTGAAGTGACGAGAAAGCGACAACCCAAATGAAGCGAGACAAGTGCACTGTTGTCTGTATACTAACATTTGTGAACAGCGTCCGTTTACAAAAAATAAAAGAAATTACTACAGCAAAAATGTTTATTTAGCCGGTGATTCGACTGATCTTTATCAGAATATGAAATAAACTTATCCCTATAATTCCTATGGATTCAGACTCAAAGGAAATATGAAAGATTAAACCGAAGATGGATTCATGGGTAAGCTCAACAAAATTTGAAACTGTTTAAAGTGTTCACATGTTATGGTAGATGTGAACTCCCTGCGAGCTTGCATGGTCTCATGGTTGCTCTGGGATATAACTTGAGATCTGAGAAGGAAGTGTACAGACCATCTATCGACCTGACATCTTTGTAATCAAAGAAACTGGTAGGAATTGCTGAATGAGATGATGGAACTGACTTTTCCTGTGGTCGATTGGGTGAACGTACCTCAGGAAAGAGTATAATAGTCAAGTTCTTCACGTCATGTTGGTATGTGGCCAGTGAATCTGCGACTAAATCCTGGAATTCGTCAATTTTCATGAGAGTGAGGAGCTTTTCTCTGTCAATTTGGAAAGTGCAATCTTTCTTTTCGACTGGCGACCAAGTTGTGAAGACTCGACCAGAATGGTATGCATCCATCTGCAGCCCACAAAGTCAGGTTAGTATGAAGTAAAAGTTCGGTGAGCGCGGTTCATACCATTCAGTGTCTTAAAATTAAGAGTTCGTTGATGCCAATATAGCTCAAATCGAAGTGTTATTTTCTTTGAGGGTTCGACGAGGACCTGAGCCTTGAATTCAACGGACATTATCTTCTCAAAAACTTGCACTTCTTCCGACGTCCTGAGCTGGTCCCGAAACACACAAACTGCCTGTACTTTCAAGTCACCGTTTTAGGAAGGACGGAAGGTCTAGTTGTTGTGTATGGAATTTACCTGTCTTTTCATATATGAGGGCTTAGTAAGCACTGGACGATGCTGACATACACCGAAATTCATAATTTTGTTACATGAAACTTCTTGCAATTAAGTCCAACGGTCTCTCAGAACAGCAGAATGATTCAACTTTGAATTTGAATTTTTAGCAAAGAAAATGTCTGAAAACATGTTACGCACCTCATGGAAGAGCGCATCTAACACACTAACTTCCTTGAGCTTGTAGCGTTTCAGACCCTGACAAATGCCAAAGACGGAAGACGAAGTTCCAGTCAGCTGGAGTTTTAAATCGGGCAAACATAGTACGAGTGAAGTTTCAACTTTTCAATATTTCCTGAGAGTTGCAATTTTGTGGGGTAACCATCAATGTACTTTGTGCAAACCCTGGATAAGTGCAAGATTAGTTTTTTTGGTCCTCAAATACTCTCGTAAGGATAATCGCCCTTCTCATCCATTAGTCTTATCAATGCCGGGAGTCGACGACTGTCGTGCTCTTGGTATCTTATAATTGTTCTTGCTAGATATCACAGAGCTGTGTAGAGTATAGAGCACCTGTATCCAGGTTGATAGATGATGTGGCGAAAATTTGTTTCTGTTTTCACAGTTCTCGAGTCTGAAGACCTTCAACTCCTCAAAAATGTGTAGTATTTTACCTGAAACTCGGGTGTGCACAAAAAGCATTCAGCACTTTCTGGAATGTTTTGACATCTAAAGTATAAGAACCAGCCTGGTTATTCAAATACTTTCTCTTCCAGATCGTTACCTCCCTCATTATGGAACAAACTCACAGAAGCACTGAATTAAAGATAAAACTTTGTTCAAGAAAGTTATTGAATTGGTCTTGGACGAGGTGGGAACAAACCTGTGAGATCCTTAACAGCAGACAAACTCCACGCAGAATCGCAGGGTTTCATTATATTAAGCACTCTCGAGAGCATGGTTTCGTATATCATCTACACATGAATATCCAAAATTGAGCAGATTGCCTGAGGAAAAGGGAGCTCCAAGAGGATGTAGGAGTGACGATTTACCCTACTTCGTGTGTATTTATGCTTAGGGGTGATACTGTAAAAGCCAATACCTCAAGTTCACTACGCGGCGGGTAAGACATGTAAGCCAGTCGAACAATGCTTGTGAATCTCATTGGCAGTTCATAGTGTCCCACATTCGATGTAGGAAGGCAAATCGCTGCAACTACCTGCGCAAGGAAGCCACTCATAATGCAAGTGTTGTAAACAAAATTTATGAAAAGGTTGAGCTAAACCTCAGGAGATCCTCAGTATCCACCATGGTGTCACTGATGAAGCTTCCTAGATCACCCTACCCTCCCTCACGTCGTACCTGTCACAATGAACACTCTGTTGGTAATCTGTTCTTATTTGAAAGAAGATTCTAATCATCAATAAGAAAAGTAGTTTGTATAGGAATTCAGCAAAATCCCCTAAAGGTATTCCTACTCATCCCGCCCTCCCAGCCGGAAACAGATTCTAAGCCTAAAATTTGAGATTTCCCGTAATTCATCAATGCCTTGTCAACTATTTCCTCACGAGTGAAAGAAAAACTCTGGACAAGGTACGCGAATGAAAGTCTCCGAGGAGCCCAGTTCTCTACCCAAGCAGCGTCCCTAGCGTTGGTACAGTCTCAGGTTGGTTACCGCTAAGTTTTTTCTCCTCAGATAGAAGCACAAAGACTAATACCTGAATCATTTCCAGCCGAACAAAGTCAAGCTGCTTATCATAGAAACCATTATACGATATGAGCTGCTGCAGAAAGGAAATAAGCTGGTTGGACTTGAATCTGTCAAGGAGAACCAATACGATGCCATCAGCAAATGCACGCCTGACTAAGTAGACATTATAAATGGAGCCCACTGCCAATTTATTGAGCACACCTGTCCAGTTGAAGAAGATTCATGCCCCGGAAGAAAAGAATCAGATTCTTCCCATCCTTTGGAACACACAATTTAGTGCCGTCCGCTACTAAGGAGGTGTTGCAAGCCAGATTGAGCCTTTCCACGATGTCATCAACACTTGTTTGTGCACTGAGTACAAGTCATTATCATCGTAAAGGACAATGTCAGACTCAAACAGCACTGCACACGCACGTTCTCTCATGTAAAGATGACGGTCTGGACCTGAGGTGCGTCCACATAAATTGCGATTACAACGTCACTTCATTTTTCCGTTAAAGTGTGACCAGCTGCTGTCTTGCTAACTACGATCTCTTCTGGGTACGATATTGCAGACGTTTATTTGGGTGTGAATCATGTGCATCCTGTTGTCAGTAAAGATGAGCTGCTCAAATATATGGTGAGATCCGATTTTGTGCATTGTTCTCTCCGCATGTCATAAAATTCAGCACAACATGCCGGGGAAGAAACTTGCCTACAATGTACAGTCAAAACCGTTGTGGACTTCAACTTGCTAAAACAGTACGTGAGCAAAGTGAATTTACCACATTGTTCGGGTCCGACCTGTTTGACAAATTAATCCGTAAACATCTTGGCATTAGGCACAAAGCGATATTCAAAGTGTAGTTCACTAAGAATACTTCCTTCTAGTTCAAAAGTGAACACCTTCATCCCAGTTCCTATTTTTGCTTCTGCTGCTCGAAATTGAAGAACTATGCTTCAGCGAAGGCACGAGAGCCAGAATCAGTAGAAAATGCGAGGAAGGAGAAAACTTGAGCTATCCCCTGACTATCGGCAGCTTGCAGACCAAACTGCAATACATACCAGTATGAAAGGCTCGGATTTGGCAATCCACAACCAGATCAATACTGCAGCTTGTGCCATGCTATCGACTGGAATCATTGACAGATATGAGGTTTCTTCAGGTGATGTAGTTTCCGCAACATAGCGTGGATGTTCAGGAAGATCTGCCCATGAGCTGGCCTTGACGCTGTATCCAGACCAGTCCCCGAGGGCTGAGTAGAAATCAGCCCGGACAGCTGGCTCCATGAGGGATCCTAATCCAACTGCAAGTCCACGCAAAAAATCGTTCTCCGTGGTAACAGCATCCAATTGTGAGAGAACATTTTTCGTTATGCTGACCTGCTCAATTCAAACAGTTCCCAACGTTAATCATCTTTGGTACTGGCAACCGACGGTTTTAGACATATATATTCTGCAGAGCCCACTGAAACACCACAACCCGCTTGGCAGCTACAAAAGAGTGATTTCTACACACGTTGTCCTTTATCTTGATTGGAAAAATTGAAAACCTCTCAGAAAGTTCTGAATAAGTACCTTTGATGTACGAATTGCGCACTCATGAGTAGTAACCCAGTCCAGGGCTTTCTCCAAATAAGAGCCTACCCATCTCTTAGCTGCATCCCTCACATCTTCCTCCTATTTGAAAAGAAATTACAGAGGTGAAGTGAGTTGGCTGAAGTCCCCTCACTACATGTCGAATTGCATACACCCGTCACAAGACATTGAAGCAAGTTTGAAGTTTCAACTTATTATGATGCACTTAATATAACCCACAGGCTTTCAGCTGAGGGTAAACTCTTTCTCTGTTTTAAAATTTGTTTCTGACCACATACACCTCACTACAAAATGTGATGTAAGATTTGATACCAGAGAGGATAACCACTTTGCAGCTAGTACGGATGAGGTAATAAGATCACTGCAAAAGATAATCATGCTTGTTCTGCTGACGGTTGCTGGTGATGCGAATCTCAGATCTTCGCACTCGAAAATTATGTTCACATTGGATCCGAACTGTATGCGCTCCCCACTTTCAGACATTACCAAACAATGTCGATGGGCTTAGTGGGAAAGTGCACATTGGAAAATGAGTAGTGATGGGCTCCGGACATGTTTACATCTTTGAGCAAAGTCATGAGAAAAGATTTGGCTACTTCAAGCCATCATTTAATGAGAAACCTGAAGGACAGGTTTACGTCGTGCAATGATTCCCCACCCTGTATGGATAAATAGTCCTCAAGTTGGTACTTTCATAGATGGTACTGAAGCTATATCTGACATATAGCCGGATCTGCAGTAAGTAGATAGCATGCTCGTGGAAGTAAACATAAAGTCATGGCTTATTCCTCTAGAACAACTTGACCACTGGCATCTGGGACCAGAACATTTTTCACCCACGAACTTATAATAAAACATGAGAATCTACAGGAAGGCACATTGGACGGATACCTCGGGAGCGTGAGTACACGGTTATCGTCAAGAACGGAATTGAGAGCTTCAATCCATTCAGGGTCAACATCTCCATCGCAGACAATCCAGGACTTTTGGTGCGGTGACTCTTTAGCCACCTGATCGACAATAGAATGTTCAGATACTGTTTTTCTAAACACATACCTTTCCAGGACAAGTATTAGCGTCAAAATGAGGTCCAATTTTCATTCAGAAAAACTCATTTACCTTTCGGGCAAGACAGGTGAGCACCCCATCAAACCACATTTGCGTGTCCAGATCCATATGACCAAGCAGTTGATGTCTTGAAAGTGCCTGCTTAGAAAGATGAGTTTTCAGGATCAGGTTGAACCAAAGCTTCGAGCATTCAGAAATGCCTAAAGAGTGCTGACATGGGTATACCTGACTGAATCTTCTCAACTATCTGTAAATAACTCTTGAGTCTTATCTTACCTTGGGATTAAGAACATGCACTTTCACGTTTTGATTTGTTGAAGTACTCAGAGCAGCCTGGAGTACTCGCCACACAGTAGTCTTTCCAGTTCCTGATGGTCCAACGAGGCTAACACCTATTCGCTGATTGCAAGCTAGGTGAAGCTGGATGATTTTCTGAACTTGAGATTCCAGTACCTGCGTACCATAAAATACAAAAAATTGTAAAAGAAGGGAAGTGTTGAGACGATGGTTCCGTTCGGACTTTGTACCTTCAAGACTATTTTCTGTGCATTCCTACTTGAGAGTTCGAAGCTGGTGGTAGGTGATCACATGTAGGAGGAGGTACGTAATTATTGATGCTTTCTAACAAAAGATGGGCGGTTTGTTCGTCAACAGCCAATATTGAGCACCGTGGGTTGCAAGGTTTTTTGGGGGTCTTTAACTTTCAAATACGTCGATGAACATTGTATAGGAAAAGTGAACATAATCGCTGGCTAATGATGATGGCCAGATAGTGTTGTCTCACGGCAGGAGCGTATCAATAGTGGGGTTGTCTTTGTGAGAAACTCTGACTTTTCCCACGAGTAGGGGTCTCGGTTGACTCTAGATGAGTGCTGATTCTAACACGTAGTCCCGTACGGAGATTATCCTCATTGAAACGAGGTTTCTTGAGTTGAACGAGGTGTTTTAAGAAAGTCAAGTTAACATTTCACATAGAACCTAAGAAGTGACGACGACATTCCTGGGTTTAGGTGCTGTGTACAACGATCCTATACTCCGCTCCAAAGTAAGTTCCTAGTCCTGTGAGTGAAAAATGTACTTGCCTGAAGTTTCTTTGCCTTCAGCACATCTGTAATAGCTCGTTCGAGATTTTGATCGACCATGTACATTTTGTCCACATCTTGAAAAACATCCAACACAAGCTGCTCAAATCGGCCACAATCCGATGTTATAAGCTTGGGTAGTGTGGTGGTAAGAAGGGCGTGGACAATCAACCGCTTCTCCACGTCTTCAGACACTGGTGCATTATTCTTTGATTCCTTGTCCAGTAGAATTCCACCCATGCTTAGCACAACCCTTACTGCTCTCAATCCCCAGTCGTAGTGATGTTGAGAGGATAATACCTGCCATGAAAAAAAAGAAATCGAAGTCGGTGGCCAACGTTCTTCCAAGACTTTGAGTCAGGTTTGTGCAGTGAAGTCTTCTGATCAATGGTTTTAAAATACGAAAACATCAAAGTTGAACTTCTCAAGGACAAATGGAGAGAAGCACGTATCTGAACGAACTGTCACAGAAATAAATACCACTACTACATAGACGGTGGAAAAATGTACCTCCTGTGCAAAGGAAAATACGACTATCAGTTTCTGACCGATAACTTTTGCATATCTGAAACCCTCTGAGATGAGGTTGACCTGCAGCAAATCCAAGTTTGAGACTCAATCTTCCTTATTTAGCCGAATTCCACTCGAACCACTATGTATTCATAAGAAGCTGATTGCGGGGCAGTCAAATGAGGTCAAATGTGGTTACTGTAAGTTGAACTTCAGAAAGGAAAAGGTAACCACCGTGAAGATCTAATGCTAGAAATTATAAGGATAATAGATGCGTATAATCGTTTTATAAACTAAAAAAATATTAAATTATTATTTTTAGGTTAAAAAATATTTGAAAATAAAACTGCCTTAAAAAAATTGATGGTATATAGCATCACCTCGGCAATGAGCTCAATGTTCGGATAGGTCATTGTGACAGAACGAAATAGAGACTTGAGGTTGTCTGGAAGCTTTGAGCGCCCGGTATATTTGTTTGATCTCGGGTTCATTGTTACAAATACAGCTGCATCATGGTCTACTTTGACCATGTTTCCCAAAAATTTAATTGTCTCGACCTTATCACGAAGGGCCACCTGAATAACTTGAATCTGTTGCGAGACTGCTGATAAAACATCTTCTTCGAGTCTGTTGAACTCATCGAAACATCCCCATGTACCGGACTTCAGAATTCCAGTGAAGATTCGGCCCATACTTTTGAAATCGAAATCTCCGTCACAATTGAAAACCAAAACCTGCCGAATACCAACTCTTACTCTCATTCTTATATTATCTGGTTCACAGCATTTAGCTCATTTGATGACTTTATATGACACAAAATAACATGGACGTGTAGACAAAGGGCCAACATCTAATTCTGCCAGAACCCTTCAACCTCACCTTTCAAGCTAACAGGGTTATCCTAGAACAATAGCTGCGTTTCCGAGGTATGTTCAATTTAAACACCCGAAATGACATTTCTCCCCTCATGTTTGCTCATGGTATGCACAGTGTCACTCGTTATTTTATCCAGATATACTTGATGAAAGGCTCTGTCGAAGTACAGACCTTTCTGCCCAGGTAATGTCCAAGTGCCTTCACACTCTCAGTCTTGCCAGTGCCCGCTGGGCCAAATATGTTACCACCATATCCTAAGCGCAGCCCTTGAGTGAGCACAAGGTAGCAGGTATCAGATAGTGGCGTGTACACTAGTCTGGATAAAAGGCCCAAGTACTCAAATGAATATGAAAATTCAGCTCGTGCCATTTTCACTGTTGCGCCACCATTTTCTGAGGAATAAAATCGTAACTGCAGGAAAACGATAAATTCAAACAATCACTATGAGTGAAGGATATTATGTGTGTAATAAGTCTGCAAATCTGCTCCATTGTTGATGAGAAAATGTATAGTTGTTTTCGAAATATTCCTGTCAATCGTTAGTCCAATATTATGTTCTTGTTGGCATGCGAAGTACCTGGCGCGACCAGGTCCAGTCTGTGGGCTGAGAAGCATTTTCTTGAAGAAGGTGATCCACGACATCCATCGAATGGATCAAATCAAGCACAAGTGCTTTCCCCGAAGTGAGCATGAACCTCCTATCAGGTCCTCTAGATTCTGTGAAGTTCAGAAGTTTAAGTCTCAAGTCCTCCTGTAACGCAATAAGTCTGCTACTCCGAAGTGCTTCTTCGCATCTCGCTGTAAATTCTATTTGACCAGCCAGAGATATCACCTGGCAAGGATAATTGTTGCTGTCGTCGCCCCCTCTTAGCTTCTCTTGCAAGCTCTCACGAAGTGTTGACTGAACATGCAAGAATGAAGATGGTCACGAAGTATGTACATGAAAGTAATGAGCTTCTATTTACTGGAGTCGAGAATACATTTAGATTCAGTTTGGAGGTTTCCTTAACTATTAGAAAACACAGAATTGAGAAGCTGGCAATGTAAGGAAACAGAACAAGATACTCTCCATACCATCGATTGTTAGCTTCAAAAATTATAACTCAACATTATACGCAGCATCTTAGCTTAAGGCCGCAAGCTCACCACTGGAGAGGACTCTAAGTGCGTAGAAACCTTTTCAAATTGTTTAGCCTTGACGTCAATTTTGACGTATTCACAAAGTGAGTCAATTCAGCTGCACTTTATCTGTAAGAAAGACTCCAAACAAAATGACCAGAAACTGGAGTAACAAGTACAATGTCCAATGGCCTGCAGGATAGACCTTATAAGATTTACCTTCAATGTCGAATGCATATCACTTAACCAGGTTTCAACCTCCTCCAAAATTGGAACCGGCGATCTGAGCTTGATAACTTCTCCTTCCGGACTTTCTACAGCCGTTATCCTACAAAAGTGTCTAGACATCAGTTTTTTAAGGTACATCCAAGGCAAAGAACACACTAAGAAGGAAGCTGTATCATTCGATGCACTGTGCTATTTTCAAAAGCTTTCTTCTTCCTCCTACCTCCTAAGTTCTGAATTTCAGATACTATAGCAACGAGAATCTTTCCCCTAAGTATAGTTCTTAAGAATGGAATTCACATGTTCATACGTGACTACTATGTTTTAGTACCTTCGCATGTCTCCTGAAAATTCTACCGTCTTCACTCCTGAAAATATCTTTGTAAGATGAGTCTGCAATCTTGCATAAGGAAAACAACATTAGAGCATGGACACGAATTGGTAGAATTGGACAAATGATATTGTGATCATGAATATTATAAATGAAGTCTAGATAATGTCTCCATCACGTAACGGACTCGTGAAGACTCTCCTTTCTTGTCATCACTGGCTATCACTCCCTCTTACTCTCACGTATGCTATGAAATGTAGTAACCTGAGATCAGACTTATAAAGACATTCACATTCTTATAATGAGACTAACTCGGTTCTTTTTTAGAGTACTAATTTCAGCCTGACTCCACAACACTCCAATACTCAAAAGGTAAATCAGAAATTAAGGGAATAATCACTGGCAAGGTGATTATCAATTCCTTTACTAAAAGTAAAAGTTGCCTAAAAGGTTTTAATAATGACTAAGACATAAAATCAAACCTAAGGTTGATCACAATGACTGACTCTTAAATTAAATTTTCATTTTAATGTAGATGAGTAACTGTATGTTTATGATTTTGAGATTAAATCACATCAATAAAAAATTGGACAGTCTTGATGAACTACGATATTCCTAAGGCCAAAGTAAGTGGAAGAAAATGAGCCTGCTTATTACAGCCAATCTATGAACATCTAAAAACATTGAAGATTATTGCTTTAAGATCATTTTTGTTGATATCCCTACTTACGTACAAAACTAGCTAGTTATGGCTGATTAAACTAGTTTTCAAATAGGGTTTGGGTGGCTTTCCAAGGCCCTGTCCTATGTTTAAACCTCTGAAACTCAGTAAGAGATAGCTCTGGTCTTTGACTGAAACATGGTAAAAGAGCTCCTTTAAGTTTAGTCTGAGCTTCTCAAATTGGAGTTCCTAACTTTTCTTCCTTTGAAGATTAAAAAGGAAGGGCATCGTCGTGCATACTACCATCTTTTTTTATTCTTTTTAACATTACAAAGGAACTGCATCTTCATTCATACTACCATCTACTGACATGGTAGTAACCATGTCCGGAGATGGAAGCATGAGGGTAGCAATCTGGAAGGTACTTGCATTTATTGGAGTTTTAAGCGGAGTAACATTCTAGTTCAGACGGACATATGGAAGATGGTGGGTGATGAAAAGACTAGGCCCACTACAATCACTGCAGAAACTCAGAAATTGACCAACTTTGCAAAGAGAACGAATTTGTATCGGCTTGAAACATAGAGATTAAGTGATTATTGTAGCTGAAGAACACCAAAGAGGTATGGGACAAACTAAAGGAGAAGTTTCACACCTACAGCATCGCAAGAACCATGTTATGTTATTATTAGTCTCAAAGTCAGTTCTTCTATGTACTTGGAAGAAGAATTGTACTTATAAAAGTAACTTATAAGTTGTACTACTTAAACTACTTCTTTACTTAAGGGTTTAAGTAGGATTCACAAACCTTGAGGACTTCATCCTCAAGGTTGAGCTATGAATTTCTGTAAATACATTGCTAGTCGGATTATAAGAACACAGTTAAGAGTCCACACCTTGCCACTGGTAATTTCCAAATCCTACAACCTTTTTCTTTTTCTTCGCCCAAAAAACTTTTTCTGTCATCAGTTCCAGTTTTCTTCTAATAATATAGACGTATATACAGCGCAACTTCACTTTCTGAATCGGTTATGCGTAAGGTTTGGCTTAAAAAAACAATAACCTGAATAATTGCAGGGCTCTCAGACTGTCCCAAAATTTCCAGGAGATCGTCATCTCCGATGAAGTAGAACCGAGGGAAGCTTGATCTTTTTTCCTGCAAGAAAGAGATAATTGTTTGGACGTCAATGAAACTGAACTTCTATAACACTATCAACTTGAACAAAAAAACAGGTAAATTTATGAAGCTAGAGAGAAACTTACTTCCAGGAAGGCAAAGAGTGCTTGCTGACAAATGTCAAGCTGGGAGTCCATCTGAAGCAAAGATTCCTCCAGCCTCGGTATCTCCATAAAACTTGTGACAGCGGGGTTGACAGTTATTGAACTCATGATTGTCCTGAACTCCTCATCCACTTTGTTGAACCTGGGCTGCAATCATACATTTTCACGATCTGCTCACAACAGTATTCAAGTTTTGTTGGAAGGACCCCTCTCCAGTATCTTCGGATTGATTTAGATCAAAGGAATTTAGAGTAGTACCGACAGTTGTCAACATGACGTTTAATATTATACAGTGAAAATAGAGACTTAGGGTGCTTTTATTCTATAACCAGTACCAAATTTGCTCATCGTACACGAAGTTCTTGATTATCAAAGACAGGCAAGCGTTTAACTTGATTCATTTACCTGTTCCAAGGGCAAGGCACCTTTCGCAAAAATAGGCTCGAGATATATCCACTTCCTCTGAACACTGAGCAATTGGACCATCAACTCAGAGAACTCGTTCAGTAGAGGACATTATAGTGTTTTAGAGATATTCATCCGAAGCCTCTGGTACACTCTCATAGGTTAGTTGCCCTTCTGACGAACTAGCAGTGAATCCTTAGAAGAATTAACTTCCTATAATTTGCAATGTAATGATTAAATGCTTTTATTTTTGTTCGATACAACGGTCTATGGTCCGTAGACCTCAGTATGCAGTTTACTAATTATTAATCAATACCGCTTCATACAAAAACTTCATGACATGTCTCTTGTTTCAGATTCTGCCGTAAGTACCTATTGAAATGCTGCAATGATTGCTGCAGAGCAGCAAGTCGCCTTTCCCATATTAATAGATCATCTTTGAATGATGATGAGTGAGGAGAATCCTTCAAAGATCTCAACAAAAGTTGCTGATCTCCCACCTATGTATGACAACAAAAGACTTTCAGATGCGTACTTCAGCTCGTATCTATTCCTTTTACAGTAAGTAAAAGAAATTGAATGCAATTTGGACAACAAAATCAGGGGTGGAAAAAACCCGATTTTTATCGAAAACATTTCGGGTTAATTTAGATACCTGATTTCAACAATGGTTTTAATTGATAAAAATTCAATCAATTGTATTAGACTATTAGTACCTAATCAGAACAGAACACTGTACTGAGTGTAGTAACAAATAGCTCATGGTTCTTAAAATTCATTATCAACATCGGATCCATATGCGCTATCAAAACCAGACTCTTCGTCAACATCGAATAATTCTGGGCTGGTGATACCCGCTAATATCGCAGGATAGTTCGTCTTAATAAATACTGGCTTCCATTTCAATAATTTCTACACTCATAACTACACTAGTAACGTATCTCGCTTGCTACTAATTAAAGATTGCAGCAGCCAGCAGCGGAGTCCGCGACTAATAATAGATTTAAATCCAAAAACCCGATTTCATGCCAAAAAATAATTGCAGGTCTTTTAAAAAAACCTGATGGTGCCAGCCCTGAACAAAATGGAGAGAGAAATCAATACTAGAACATATTCACACCGCTCATAAGTCTTTCATTATCAGTCAGTAAGGAGCACATGTTCTACGTGACTGCATACCTCTACTTGTAGTTCTTGCCAATCCCTGATAAGAAAAATTGACTGGAGATCTCTTTTCGTTAGTTCATATTGCACCAACGCGAATGAACGCTGTAATCCCCACAATACTGTTTGATGGAGGGCCTCCTTTACACTAGCCTGCACAGTGATGGACCAAGACAGTCACAGGCTGGAGTCATAATAGTTTGATTTTAATGTGGGATTGCCGTTTAGTATCTGCAAGTCATGGAACTTTGGAAACTTGTGTTTCTCTGCTAAAGTCCAACCGTGAAGCACAAGATGTTGTTAATCCTAGATTCAAAAACTTTCATCATCGACAGACTCTGAGGCTTGTACCTCTCCAGCAGCAAGAGCATTGAGAGCTTTGATCGCATCTGCATGTTGAACTAGTTTATGAACTCTATCGAGGAGATTTCCAACCTTCAAGTCTTCAACTCGCAGATTTCTAGAGTCCTGGGAAAAAAATGCAAACGCACTTAACGGAGAAGCACTGGAAAGGGCCAGACACTCACCCTACTCTTTGATCGCTGTAGTTAATAAACAGAGGAAAAAAGTTTCAAAATCACAATTGTGATTTTGAAGACACGAGTTGGAGAAGGAGCAAATTAAATGTAGATATTGGAGAGAGAAACACAATTTAGACTAATTTCATGTGATTTTTATCTGTAGTGGATGAAGGATGCAAGTATATATGTACCGCAGATTCGAGCTGTATAAGAACAAAAAGCTTGTGCCAATGATGGTGATCCCATCCTTCACCCGTTATGTAGGGAAATATTGCTAAGCATCTCTTGAAGAGCTCCAACTCCTGTAAAAGATGTATCGGCAGTGAGAGCTGTACGGCACTGGAATGCAGTTAATATGAGTTGAGGTTGGAAGCTTTAAGTGAAAGACCGAGTTCATATATTTCGAGATATATTGACTTCTTCCACACCGTTATCTTCATTATTACGAAAACCTTGTATTGCAGTGATCAGTAGGTATGTGTCTTCTAAGACTGAAAGCACCTTCGCTCTCAATGGAGGCTAAAATCACCATGCAGGCTTTTTGTAACTCATCTTTCTGAAAGGAAACGGAGATCATGCGTTATGTAAACATACTGAACCTGGACGCTTTTGATTTCAACTTCAGTCTTGGAGGAACTGTTGCTAAGAAACGTTCCCCACTTCAAGACAAAATCCTCCAATGACGTCAAATGAGTCTTCGCCGACTTCCAATCCTCTTCTCTAATCCGCTTCATTTCCTCTAGAAATATTCCAAATTTCTCCCATTTCTGATGTAGGATAAAATAAATGTCAAATTGTTACCATAAATTACATCAAACTTATAATTTCTTAGACGTTATGATCATTATCTTCTTGAAAAATCATTATAAATATCAATCATGCCCATCAGCAAGTACAATCTGTTTCACTTGCGATTGCAGGTAGCAAAATCGAAGCTCCTTACATAGATTTCCGCTTTGATGTCCTGTTTGACATGTGATAAAATGGGGAACTGAGGCATTTCCATCCCAAGTTTTTTGGTCTTTTCTGTAGCTTTTTCAACTACTCCCTAAGACATAAAATTCAGTCTCTCATTAGTTTGTGTCCTGTCAATTACGGTCTCATCGAAGGTCAAGCATTCATATAAAATAAAAGTTTCGCTTCAAATTGTTATTCAGATCCTATCCTAGGCTCTTGTTAGGCTTCACAGGGGCTGATAACTTCACGGACATTTAACGTCATCTATGGTGACAAAGTAAAATGTATAAACCTCAATCTATATAATGTACCTCAATCTCCTGTAGCTTGTGTTCTTTCTTCCTTATGCTAGCAATTGTGTCAGGTAGATTTCCTTTCCACACAATTTTAGCTCTCCACTCTTTCCTGGTTGGATAGAACCGTGGGATGAATTAAAAAATTCTAATATATACGCCTTGAAAGGTATAGTGTGCTAGACGCAATGATAATTATGAACACACATCAGAGCAAAACAAAACAAATATCTTACAGAAATAATTACAACACTGCTTGAAGTTTGATCCTTGTACTAGCGGAGCTAATTATAACGTGGGCCCTACATCATTCGTTACCTTTGACCCTAAATCAGTGAAAAAGATACAGTAGGTTTGGAATAGAACCACAAAATTGCAAAATCTTCGAGCCTCTTGCGAAGTCCTTGTAGCTCTTTCTCCAACTTCAGTTTCATGCGTTCGCCTTCCTCAGAAAGGTAGCTCTGGGATCCCGAGATAAAGAATTCGAGTTAGATAAATTTTCTGAAGGACGATTTACCAGGTCAAAACAAATTATATCTTGAATTTTGAAGCACCAGCACTAAATTTCCTGATTCACCTCGTGATGGCTGAGCTTAATTACGAAGGTTTCCCAATTGTTGGAATTATTGGCGAAGCTGAGTCTCTCGGCGGAGATTGAGGATGTCCGGCCGGTCGAGCTTAATGGGTGTTCTGTGACTTGCCTCAGCAGGCACAGTTCCTGGTCACAGCTGCGGCGCAATTCAAGCATTTTTGGAGTTGAAGCTATCTGCAGTGATAAGAAGGCACAAGATTTCAATCTCAACTTAGAGAATTGAAAACGACCGTAAACTTCTAATCAGAAAAAAATCTTTGAAAAGAGTCGTCCTTTCCATACGTGTAATTAAATTCAATGGTTGACCAAATTATCAAATACGACTTTCAGTACTACGAGTAGCTCAGTTCAGGTATGTTGAGTTCCCAGCAGGTACGGTACATTCTTAGAATTGATATTACGGTTCAAGTGTAAGGGATCTGTGAAGGGATTCATAGATCCCCATGGCTTTTGATGCATTCAAGAGGATGTACGGAAGTTGCGGGAATTCTCACAAGGTCGGACACAGCTTGCTGCATCGACACTATGTCCTCCACACACCGTATTTCTCCTTCCAGAACCTTGTTTCCTTCAGCAAGAAACCTCTCGATTTCTGACATGTCCTGCATGGCTTTTTTCCTCAAAGAATCGCACAGTATTTTATGCAGTCTCCTCAACTGCTCATCGAGCGCAACTTTAGCCGGCTCAGTCACGAGTTTATAGCATCCGATCTGTAAGGGAAAAAAATTGTAATCTTCTTACAATCACGGGGCAGATCTAGGGGTGATCCAGGCATTGATATTCTATCGAATGGTGTTTTTCAAGCAATTAAATCGAGAGAACAGAAAATGACCGCACGTTTTGAGCTCAATCGCTCCAAGGATACACCCATAATCCTGGTTACAGCAACTAAAAAATGTGTTTTTTAATAGTTCAGGTGTCAACGGAACCCACTCTGATTTCTGAAGGAAACCTCTCCAGTTCTTTCGTTCGAGACTTCAACGCTTTGAAGTTGAGTTCCCACTCCTTAAGGTCCTTAACTTGGAAATTGACACAATCTTCCAAGTCTACTGTACCCTGCAGGCAGCCCAAAGTTATGGTTATGAATAAGGTCTTGGTTTTGATTAATAATTGAAGAATTCGGAGTAGTAATGTATTGTTTGATGTATATGATACTTGGGAGTATATGAATGGAAGAACTGGCTGGCACTGCAACAGCTCAAATACTTGCTACACATGTTCCTCTACGTGGAGAACTACTCTTTACAGGTGTTGGTCATAATAGAGGTGAAACATCATCCCAAACACATGATTTTGAGGAAACTCGATTAGTCCCGGATGTGAATTAACTGATACATAATATAGTAGGCACCGAAGAGGACGAAGATGGACCTCCTGATATCCAATTGGGATCTACGTCAGGAGGAGCGAAATTGTTGAAGATGGTTATTCTACTTAGAAAGTTGCTCCTAAAATATCCAAAATCTCAATTAAAGAGATTGAGTTTGTTGTAGAGATTGTTTACGTCTTATTCCAATATGTTATTGAAGTGGAGGAGGCCATATGTACTTTTGAGATTGATGAACCTTCTTCATATGTTAAGGCAGCAAATAGGCTAGACTGAAATAAGTGGGAAAAAAACCACAGAAGGGAGATGGTGGATCTTCAAGCTAGAAGAATGACCCATGATCATGGGTTTTCAAAGTGAAGAGAGGAGGCAATTGAAACTAGGTTTGTAGCCAAGGGATATAGTTAAAACCATTGCTCCAGTAGCAAGGTCTGGCTCCTCCAGGATGGTCTTAGCTCGAGCAGCCAAGAATGATTGGGAAGTGAACAATTGGATCTAAAGAGAACTTTTCGGAATGGGAATTTGGAGCAGGGAATACATGGGTGAATCTGATGGCTACATCGTGGAAAGGTGAGGTTGTTGAAATTATTACTCTATTAGCTGAAGTAAGCACCTAGAAGTTAATATCAAAAGTTATATAGTTATCTCTTGAAACAAGGCTTGAAGATAGCATTATCTGACTTGAGTATGTGCAGCAAGGATGGAATGCTTTATTGCAGTCTATGTAGATGATCTGTTTCTGCTGTAGATGATACTCTACTGATGGAAAGTGAGTCAAGGCAATGATAAATGTTCTCTCCTACCTTTGCTTTATTCTTATAATGACAACGATAGGTCCTGCTGTGATCAACATTGATAGAGAAAAAGAGGGAAGGGTAATTTTGAATAAACCAGACCAAATACAACAAGAGTATTGTATAAAGGTATAGGACAAAGGATGCAAAAATCTGTTGCAACACCCGTAAATTCTGGTTGGGGCCTTAAAACCATGGAGAAACTGGCAAAGAGACAAATTTTGAGGATTTGACAAATTGAGGATCACAAATTTCCTTACCAAGAGTCGTAGGCTCACTGAAGTTTGATATGGTTTATACCCGACCAGATATAGCTAATTCGCAGGGAACTTTGGCCAATTGCACTAACTTTCCAACTCCAGCTCATTCGGGGATATGTCACAACGGTGCTAAGGTACCTTAATGCACTTGAAACATTTACTAGGAGTTCAAAAAGTTGGAATCCGAGAATCACTCTCACAGGATTTTTTGTATGCTAGTTGAGGAGATAAATGTGATAACAATAGGTCCACAATTGTCTACATTTTTACCCTTAGTGGTGGAGCTATCCGATAGGGGAGCAAACAGAAAAGTCTAGAGCTCTATCTGCAACAGAATTTGGAACATGGCTTCTTCATTAGCAATTAAAAAAAGGATTAGGTTGAGGAGTATATTGAATGATCCTGGATTTACTCAAGCTCCAACTATATTGTTGATGTGCGATAACACTGTAGTTATTGTGCTCACTCAAAACCATTTCCGTTATTTTAGGAATAAATATAATGTTTTACATAGAAAATTTGTTGAGTAAGAAGGAAAAAAAGAGTTAATTGATGTAGCAGTCATGTCCAAACTGCTGATTTGATTACTACAGCACTTCTAAAAAAACGTAGGAAGTGCATAAAAGAAATGAGACTGAAACTGCCTTCTCATCAACTGGGAAGGTTGAAATTGTTGATATCGAAGTTAATTGTATAAGCACTAATTTAATTTCGGAGGAGGGTTTCATTAAGGTTCATCCGTCATCAGCCACCTTAAGATTAGCTTTTTGATATAGAACATCAAATCAAGATTGAGCCAAGAGTTTCAGATATTTTCACTCTGATGGCAGAAAACACAAATAAGAATACCCGTCTAAGTATACATCTAGAATACATAGAAAATATGATTTATCATTCTAGATGTATCACTAGTGCCTGACGACTCCCCTAGTGTTAACCCTACAACCTCATTTTAAGGCGGTTGATGGTGGCTGAAATCTACTTAAAAACTAACCTTATTAAAACAATTGTAAATATCACTTTGACCTAACTAAATCAGGATATAATAATCTTAAAAATCCCTATTCTAGAGCTAAATACATAGAGGAACTAAAATCCTGATTAACAATTCCAACAAATTGGAACGATTTTTGCCTGAATTTGGACCTGGGTGATGGATGACGGAACTAATTTACAACGTTGAATGTGACGTCAATTTTTGAGGGCTTACCAATACGAGCGTGTCAACTAGCTTTTTCTCCTCTTCCATGAGTCTAGCGATGAGTTCTTCTGTACTGAAAGAAATACAGAAAGATGTACGTAAGTGACGTGTAAACGAGAGAGTACCATGCAGACTGAAGATGCTTTGATGACATCCGACTGCAATTTTGGATTTAGGAAGCAATTTTGGGGGAAGAAATTTATGATAAACATTTCTTGGAAAAGTTGCATCTTCTCTACGCAAACAGTACTGCTTGCACCACTGCTAACAATGCTCAAGTGTAGGAGAATGATAGTTACCTCTCATAGAGAACTTTCATTGCATCACACGAACAAGTATCCATAATCAGGTGCTGAAACAGATCAGGTTGTTTCGATACTCCCCTAATACTCATGGGCAAGCTTCCAGGCCAAAAGAATTTCAAGTCAAGGAAATTCCAGAACTCGCAAGTAAAGTATAACCACTGGAGAACAAAGCCGTAGTTGGATCACACGTTGTATATACCTATAACTGTGTTTCATGAGACTCGACGTGCTCAATTGAGCTTTGTAAGTCATAGAACAGCTGATGAATCTAGACCAAATCAACGCTTTGCGTACGAGTTTTACCTCAAGTACTTCTTTATCTCTTTGTAGTGATTGGCCCTGATCTCTTCGAGAGGGGGTTCGTACTGCAGACTCTTCTGACGAAATACCACTTTAACGATGATCTGAACACTTCACTTTTGTAATAAGTAGTACATCATTATCAATATAAAATAGGTATATCTGCGAAAAACTTCTACTTTTAAGTTGATGTGAAGACATCCTTCAATTGATCATGCATAGATGTTCTGTTGAAGATCAGTCATATATTTAGTAGTGTGCAATGGATGATGCCCATTTATTTTCTATTTTGCATACTGTTATATCTTGCTCAAATTTATTCCGTACAGGCACAAAATCCTTGCCATAGAAGGCTTTTTGTACAGAAACTGAGCGGCCGCGCAAAATTTTTTCAGTTGACCTTCCATGTGATGTTTCCCTCGTTGTTTTGGGAATCAGATTGTTAACGTGAATAACCGCTACCATGATATCTCAATTGTTTAAGTCTTGGGTATTCTCTTTTAGTTGCTATCGTTCACCCTTACCCTCAAACATACTATGAGAAATAGTAAGTTGAGTTCAGACTTATAAAGATACTGTTTAGAACCAATTCGAAACTTTGCTTCAAAATACTTCATCTCCATTCTTCAGCAATCCAACATTGAAAAATTGTAATGATTATCTGAGTAAATGAATAACGACAAGGTGCTGGTTTGACATGACTGCATAATCACCTCGTTAGGATTATGCAGAAGTTTTCAGTCTCAAAACTAAAAAATATATATATCCAAAACCCTAATTTTCTAAGCTTGGTTCAAATTCAAGACCCTTAGCTTATCGGGGTCAACTACTCATTAATTACCGAGGTAATCCTATCTTAAATAGATAAAACTTTTTCTCTAGAAACTTTAGCATTTCTAGAAGTTATTTCTAGTTTCTAGCATTTTTTAACAAAGTTTTCTCAATTTACATCTCAACCAAATCACTTGAATAGCAAGTGAAGCAACCATCTTTCATCATTTCCAATTCTGTTGAGAAAAAATGCTACTCATTTCTGCATGCTACCCAACAATTAGCTCCACCGCTCAAAGCAAACAAGGAACTACTCGTGGATCTAGTATACTCCAAATCTTCACCCCAACTAGTATCAGAAAAACAGTTAAGAGTAGTTCCAGACACTAACTAGGTAGGTATTCAAACTATCGCTTTGATCTTCAAAATGTAGAACCTGAGTACAAAACTGGATTCAATCTTCCAAGTTCTATTTCTGGAACTTTGAGAGCAGTTGAGAAGAAGACTAGAAATTAAAAAAAGCCCTGCCGGATGCCCCGCCCGATTAGAAATGTAGGAAATTCTTCAACGTCTAATTAGAGGCTTTAGCTTCATAACCATACCTCTGGAAGGTTCGCACTGAACTGTTTGAGGCCAAGATTGTATTGATACTCCAATGCTTTGCAAATCTGATTCATGCACATCACAGATACTACACTACTTGGTTAAACCTCAAAGATCGCTCTAGGTGAAATTCTAGAGACAATGAGTCGAAGCACATTTTGCACATGTTTCTGATTGAATCCTCGCTTTCATGTTTTTTGGCTTGTTATTCTAAACATCTCAAGGAAGAGCTTGTATGCTTGTCCAAACATATCTAATAAAAAGGAGAGAGTTTAGTGGGTGTAGGGTTTAAACCCTAAACCCTTCAAACTCATTCAGACAAGTATAAAATTTTCATAAGTAAACACCAAATCGCAACCCGAACCAACCTGAACATCCCAATGGCGGCGCCAGTCATTCAGGTTAGTGAATCCCTGTCTTTCCGCCTCATCAAACACAGTGTTCATTTGTTTCACACAACTCAGCCACTGTTCATGATAATTTTGAAGATCCAACGTAACCAACCGCTTCACAATTTGTAGCAACTTGCTGAAATTACAAAGGCCCCTGTAAGTAAATACACGAGCACTTATTGGATTGGTGCAAAGAATATACGTCAAACTAGACATGCGTACCTATGTTGCTTGTGCAGCTGTCGATTTTTCTGGGATATACTTCTGGATACCTCCTGAAGTCTTGCTGTATAGCTCTTGAAAAGAAGAAGGACGACATAGCTTATAAGTGAGTTGAGATAAACTTTGTGTAAAGTTTGCTGAAACAGAGTGTCAGAAGCCTAAGAAGTTAGGAGGATTAGTGCATGCACTTTTTTCAACACAATGTAAGGCGAGAATGTCAGCTGTATGAGCCTATGTATAACAAAATAAGAATCCATTGTTCCGGATGCCTTTTGATATAAGTTCAAATTCGTGTGCCTATGTATCCAGCGTAAATCTATTTAAAAACCATAAACTAAGTGATGGAAGGGTACAGTTGGCCGTGAGAAACTCAAAACTTCAAGTACAAGAGCTGATTACCAGCTTGGCCTTACCTACGAGTCAGAGCTTATTAAACACTTAAGACAACGGACATGGAGTCTACTTCATGAAACTGTCGTTACAACACCTGAACAAAACACCAGGACTCGTACTGGAAAATCTTCTTGACAAAATGTCACAGGACACATTGTTCTCTAACCTGTAAACTTTCTGCATGTCGAGACTTGGTATTTACCTGTACGGCAGAGGTGTTGTTCCAAAGCAAAGGTCTTCCCAAGGTGTCACAAGGATTTTTTAGAATAGATTCGAAACGCAAAGCATCTTGCAGCATAATCAGCTTCTGACATGGAATCATCAGCGTCGAGATTTCATTGTAAAAATTGGCAACTTGTTTCAAGAGCATTCCTTGTTTTTGGAATGTTTGCGCTGCTTCCACAGCCTTCAATAGATCAGCCTGCTTATGGTCATGGACATTCTAGTCTGATCAGCCGTTTGGAGATAATATGGTAAAGAGAAGAAATGTTTCCACTTGGTATTTGCGCGCTTCGGCGAATAGATTCTTACATTGATGTTGTAACCGAGAGTTGCCAGTTCTCGAGTTTCACGGATCAGCGCCACAAAGTCGTCACAGAACGTAATCTGAAAATGCGAACAGTTAATAAACTCCAGAGGGCAGAATTTACTCGGACAGAAGTTCGTCGCAACACAACATTCAGTCTGAAAACAGCTGCACCGGAAGACATGACGGAAAATGCGGGAACCAGAAAAGTACTGAAACAAAGCGACTGCAATGGATTAGTCCTTCCAAGATTGTTTGGAATTGTGAGCTTCTTATGTAACTGAGATCGACTAAAGCAGAGAGAGACAGAGTTTCGGATGTAAGATTTACCTCCACGTGACCATCAGAGGGATCAAATTTCAACAATCTTCCACATGACTGCGACTTCAAACAATTTAACTTGTCGTGCACATTGGTTTCCCAAAACTGCGTTGTCAGCATTGACCATTTTAAAGAATTTCAGATAAATCAAGTGACTCAGAGTTTATTGGACTTAAGTAGCACGGTCTTGGCGCTAGGAAACGAAGAACATTGCAGGAAATACTACCAATAATTTTGATTTACAGGTGGGCTTATATGTGTAAATCGCCATATCATGGTCACAATGGTAAAATATTCGTTGACCACACACTATGGCGAAATATCTTACAGGACTGGTCTCCCACTTAAGTCACGTACATCTATCCGTATTTCTCGTTTGCCGCTTTCAAAACCCGTGACGGTACTGTTTTGATAAACTTCAAGTGGATAAATGAGGCACATCAATCATACAAAACAGTAGAACCGGAGAGCTATTGACCTTGAGTTTCTCTTGCTTGTGTGTGGTCAAATCTTCTTGCAATTTCCTGTTTAACAGAGAATGAACAATGAGTTGCAGAAAAAAGAGCAGTATGTCTTGTGCAGTACTGAAGAGTTTATTGAGGAAACGATGCGAGGCTGTAAGAATTGATCTACCTTAGTTCTTCTAGAACACTCTGATCATTATCATTCTCAATTGGTGAACCTGGCTTCAATACAGGGAGTACAGCCAAGACAGTTTCTTTGGTCTCCTCCACCTTTGTCACAGCACAGTCAAAATCTTTGAACCAAACCGTGCAGAAACAGTCTCTTGACGCACCAGGTGGATGAGGTTATATATTTGCTGAGACGGAGAAGGTCCTGATCTAGTGTTTCATTCATGATTTCCTACCCCCATGGCAATCTCAAAACCTATCAGCCCTTAACTTTCAGCACCCGTTGACTGGAGCTGGATTTCAATCTTCTGGAGCGAAGTCAAAATCGCAGACTTTTTGGAAACCACAAGATATAGATCAAACTTGCGTAATGTGCATGACATTGTGAAGTAGACATCACCTTAGACTCGTGCTGCAGAAGCCAAAACAGGCTTCCAACTATACTGCTCGAATTGCAATACGGGTACATCAGCCCTCCAGAATTATTGAGTGTTCGACCATCCAGGTGTTCATCAAATTGAATCTTCAGGTTCTCTGTGTGCCTGTATGCTGACGAGCTCCGGAATTAATATAATGCTGTAATGCTGTAAATTGTTCTCTTCGAAATGTCAAAGAAATGGTATTACAAACAGAAGCGTGTATGGAATGATGTGGATACTTTTGCAACAGTGCTAAGATCATCTCCCATTCATCGTGAAGAGACTTGGCCACAAGTGGAGATCCAAAGAGCTCCTTGTATTTGCGAATCTCCCCCATGATCTGAAGCATGACAAAGTCTTCACAAGTCTGTATTATAGAAACAAATTTGATGCTCTAGATAATGTACAGTTTTTGAACCAGCTACGTCCCTACGTACAGATAAGTATCATCATTACGATAAATGTTCCAGGCTTTCACTGTTTTAGCCTACTCAGATATACTACAATGTTAATACATCTACATAGATTGATTACATAGGCCTACAGCCATCCATATTGTACAACAGGAAGATACTATCGACCCTTCAAACTTGAGATGTTGGGTGTATGGCGCAGCCCTGAAGGTGATGATCACCTGATGTGGTCGAGCCCTACATGTAAGATCTTCAAAAGTCTTTCCAACGGCTGCCTTCAACGAAGGCAACAACGAAGTGTAAAAAATTTCTCTCAAGGTCATGGCAATTTTAGCTTCAGTTGGTTGCATAGTCTTCTCGTACTCGAACAGAGCAGTCTACAATATATTCAAGACAGGCGAGAGAAGGAATTAACGTACATGATATTGCAATCTATATCATAGATGAGTCGATCTGTTCAGTTTCCGTGTCACACTGCAAATGCATTAGACTGGACTGTTTTCACAGCTTTAATCGTCTCTGAGTAAGTATCCAGGTTTTACCTGTGCGGCGGTCATGAGTGATCACTGACAGATGATGCATTTATATTTAAGTAGCAATTACCTTCCAAGCTCTCTGGCCCGCATCCGAGCAATCACAAGCATCTAGTGAGGAAAAGCAGTTGAGCATGTGCTGTCCTGCTGAAGAAGATACTTCGTCTTCGGAGAAAAACTTAGAACGGCGTGCATGAACCTGTTCAGTCACTAGCAACAAGAATATTGGAAAGCTGTTATCAAAACGTGGGTGGGGTGGCCAAGGGGAGGGAGGAACAAGCTGTGCTCTGGAAGCAAATGCTTTCCAAAGGAACATAGATGGGAGAAGACATCATCGGCTAAGACTGTCTAATAAACTTCTTCATCTGTAGTCACTCTCTGTGGATGCAGAACTGAAAGCGTATCCACATGTTTAAAGAGGGAAATTCCACTTTCAATATCGTGAAGCACCTTAGAAAGACAACTTACACAATAGACACAAGTCATACACATGGTTCTTGTACGTAAACCTAGCGTTCCTCGGCATATCTTATCACCGTTGACACATGTCAACAATGCGAGGCATCAACCAAATTGTCAAGTACTCGTTGCGTTAGACACGACCGACAGAAGCATAAACTCAAATCATGATCTTCAATGAGCCAGTTCATACTTCACGAATTTTGAGTATCTCTTGTAGGCGAGAACTCAACGTTGCCATAAGTGCATCTTTAAAGGGATCCCCGACCCATTTATGTTCTCGGCTACTTGTCCAGGTCAAGCCTGTTAGTTCAAGGATCACTTCTTCCCACTTCCTTGATAAGCTCAACCCTTCTGTGATTTTCATCTCTACCTGCAACAGGTCCGAGGGTTTAGCGACCAAGAGGCCAACATTCATACTGCAATTATTCACAAACACGTTCTAAGAGGCAACCAACTGTGTGCGGATTACAATATTCCACGATGAGACTTGGGAAAGGTTCCTAGAATACGACTGAACATGACCAACGAGTACTCTTCATGCATGCCTGACATCAGATGTGGCAGCACATGTTTTAGCCTACCGGCAACTTTGATTAATATTTTGTTTTTGCCCAGAAACTTCTGTAGTAGACTTCAGATTCATCATTTGCAGAAGTTCCGAGGGACGCGGATATGAATGTCAGTAGCCGAGAAGAGAGCGAAATGAAACGAGAAGAAAGATGGAAAGGAACCTTCAGAAATGGATCCATCCATAAGTCCACTTTGGAGATCATCTTACAGAGAGCATCAAACAAAGCCTTCCCAACCACGTGTAGAAGATACGTCATCCCCTGCTTACTGTATGCGGCGACTAACCCTTTCTCATCGTCCGAGTGACGACAAACTCTCCAGAGCGAGTCCAGGAAGTCCTGAGTTAGCTCCATCAGCTCCATCATCTCGTCGATGTCTAAAGACTCCAGTTTCTGTAGAGTTCTGACGAGTCTCATGAAACTCACTCGACTCATTGACTCATTGACAGTCGATCTTACAGTTACAAGACTTCATCCACATGTGGACACATAAAATCCATTTATTGATGAAGAAGCCAGAGAAAGTAAACTTCATGGCAGTCATATGAGCTGCAATTGCAGGATGCAGACTTACCTCAAACTGGACCAAAATAGGTTCAAACTCCTGTAAAACCTCGAGTGCAAGCTCCTTCCTGAACGGGGATTCAGCGCTATCTCCAGAAACACGGCTCCAAAAATCATATTCATCCCTGAGACTTACAATCTCAAGTGCGCTGTGTCTGAAGTCTTTCATCTCGAAATCTCCCAATATATCTTGCGCTCTGAATTGAATAAGACTGGATCCACCAGTTGGTCACTGGGTCTCCATATTAAGAGATTCTTCTCTATTCTTTCAGCCTTGGTCAGTCGCTGAGATTTAGACCAGAGGAAAGGCTAAACCAAGAATAACAGATAGCTATTTAACTGAGAAGCCGCTGAATCCGAATCCTCGACTCAGACTTCACATTTCATTTGAAGCAAGCCTTGCTGCAAATGAAACGTGAAATTTGAGTCGGGCAATGCTGCAAACAATAAGTGGGCACCACGTCCTAAACAGACAATGCGCAAGCACTGAGCAGACTGATCGCACGAGATTGGCTGTACCCTAATTTGAAAAGCAGAAACCAGAGTGGTGACATCTCATACGCTGGAAGAGCATTGAGTTCCAACTGGACTTGATTCTCGGGTATTGACGTGAATTTCCCAAAGTCCCAAATGTAAATCAAGTAACAATAGCAAAATTCCGAAAGGCCAAATTTTGATTTCTCGCGTGAACACCCACAACACTTGACAATCTCTACAACGCGGATCTAAGGCGTGAAAGTTCGTCTACCGATCGTTAACGACCTTCGCTTGCGCTTGACTTCAGATTCGAATACGCTGGACACGGGGCTAAAAAAGAAAGAGCTGAGCGTTATCGGGTCTCGACGCTGCGAGGGAGTGGAGTGAAGCTTGAATGGACTCCGGGAATTGCACGACGCACGAGGTCCGCCCTCTCTCGGTGCAAGTGCCGGAGCCCAGAACCAGAGCCTCCGTAGAAGCCGTCCAACACTCGTGGCCTCGACGAGACAAGGCCCCGAACACAGGAGCCACCTCAGCTCATGTACCGCGTCAGACTGCAGTCCGTAACCACAAAGGGAGGTTACGATGGTCTTGCACCAAACCACGTCGCGGTCAGATATTCCTAGGCTTGGCCACGGTCCGGTCCGGACCGACGGTTAACCGGTTAACCGTCGGGACCGGTTAACCGGTCCCAGATTTCTCCGGACCGGTTAACCGGTCCGGGAAAAAAATTTCCTCTGGCAGCAGAATTGGACCAGCGAGCCTCCCTGGTCTAATTCTGCTGCCAGAGTAAATTTTTTATCACCCAATTCGATAAGTGGATAATCCCTAGCATAAATCTCGAGCTCGGATGTGTTTCTCCAGCTTCCCTGCACCCTGGCGCAAAGTCGAAGTCTCTCCAATTCGAGAACGTTTTCAACCGGGAGGATTTTCAACAGTCCGAGTGGGGGCTCATTTGAGTTCTCGAGCTATGGCGCAATTCCTCCTTCGCTCCCAGCCCAACCCGTCGGCCACGTAGGGTCGGGACAGATGGTTAACCGGTTAAAACCTCGGTTAACCGTTAACCGATATGGCAAAATGCCGGACCGGTTAACCGTTAACCGGACCGTGGCCAAGCCTAGATATTCCCACACACTCCTGCATCCCGAAGAACATACCATAACATCCGAAGGGTTAACGTCTACATCACTACATCTACGTCATGATTTCTAAGAATTTTCATTTGTGTTAAAGATCATTGTACCTACCCACGAAAAGTTTTCCTATCATTACATGTAGCATGTTCGAGTATTGGAGAGATGATGAAAAGAGATATCACAACATCTTTAAATCCAAACATATCTAATTTCACCTTGGTTGATATTGTTTAGCTATAGTCAAGATGATCATTTGCACGTTGATATCAATAACTTTAAATATTTAAATTATATCAAATATTATAGCTTATTAAATAATGTCAAATTATTCTTATAATAAATTGATGTTGATTGTAAATAATATCTCATAAAAAAATATCTACAACTCAATATGTGATTATATTTGATGATAAATATATTAATTAGATATCTAACTTACAAAAGTGTATAATTTAGTTTAAAATGAAAGCTCTATATGTAATGACAGCAGAAACAGAAAAAAAAATTATTTTGTTAAATATGCTGATGTTGAGTATGGACAAGAATCTCACAAAATAAAATCTAAAATTAAGTATGTGTTTACATCTAATAGCAGATGCATTAGGTGGAGATATACTTTGAAAAAGTGTGTAACTTAGTTTGCAATGAAACTTCAGTATGTAATGATAGTAGAAGCAACAAAGAAAGCTATTTGGTGAAATATGTTTATCACTGAAATGGTATTGAAATAGAAGATTATCAATCTTCATTGAAATAGTCAAATTGTGTTACATCTTGCTACAAATTATATGATAGATAGTAGAATGAAACAAATCTACATCATATATCACTTTATCGCACAGTTTAAAACAAAAATATTGAATTAATCAAGATTGACAATAACTCAATTGAACATATGCATTGTCCAAAATTATTCCTTTGGAAATTTTAGAAAAAAAATATGTAGCTACCCAGGTTTTGCACGAATAGCATAAATATAGTTTATTAGTAATTTAATCATTCTCTATATTTTTTCTTTATCATGTTATTGATACGACTTAATTTTAGTTAGCTTTAATTTAAAGAAATTTCTATGTTAGATTTACTTAAGAATTTTTCTCAAAGTAATAATATAAATTATGGAGACGGTTGTTTACCTTTACATGAGTTTAAATGTAGATTGTTAAGTATAACTTTTGTCATGACTATTGTCAAATGTGTTGAGAATGAACACACCTTAGAGTTCGCGTATGTGAGGTGTTAACTACTTAGGGCTGTGCAAACTAGCTCGCCGTCTTGAACACTCCATTATCTTTGTTCCCGAATGTTCCTGTGGTAATCTCACACTGATTTCAATTTTGATTTTCTCTTGCATTTTGTCATCTTAAATCTAAAGTTATGGGTGGTTATATTTTTTTTCAAAGCACGATTAATAAATATTCCCTCTTTTTGCTGACACACAAAATTTATAAACAATCCATGTATTTCTGACTAATTTTATAATGAATGTATCAAGAAAAGATTTCTAACACAATGCATTATTTACTTTATTTACTCCTATCTAATCGTGCAAAATTACACAATCAAAAATATTTTCAAAAATCTTTGTGTCAAAATAGAAAAGTTTTTTTTGGGTGAAACAACCATAATAAATTTTCAAACTTTTTCCACCTAAAATCAACAAATTTCACCCAAATTAAATTTTAGCAACTAAAATCAATCAAAATCAAGCAAAGCAATACTTGAAACACTACAAATCAAAATTCTCACCCATATAAAAATTTAAGTGGTAAAATAATTCTTACATTTCAATATATTTATCACAAGTGTAAAATGACTTTCATTGCAAGAATACAATGAACTCTTAAGCTTTTTATATCTATCATATTGGAACAATTGAAATAAACTGTTTTCACCAATATAGTTTTGATTTTCAAAGTTCATAATATAGCAATGAAAATTGTTATGAGTGATAATTTGATATCAATCTGCAATTTGATTTTAATATGTCTTTAATCAACATCGTATGTTCTAAACCTTGCTTTCTCCTTTCCATCCTTGTAACGCTTCAAAGCTTGTGATATATTTTGAAATCTTATCAACAATGTGACATTCAACATTGATTCAATCATGGACTCTTTATAATATCATCGTTACGTCTAAAGTTATCTTCATATAAAGTATCGCCTGCATATAACAATATTGAAGATGACTTATTTGAACATTATTTATCCTAATTATGTGATGATGCAACATGATGTCACAGAATTCAAACACGCTGGATAAATGAATTGTAATTCATGAACTTTCATGTAAGATTTATAGACAAACTTAAAACGGATTTTATTTCCGGATATGAATGGATTCTTGCACACGACACATTATGTAGAACGAGGTTGCATTGTTTGGAATTGGTTTGCAAGAAATGAATTATTATTTTGCACTTTGGTTTGTCATACTTGCATACAAAGCGACGTGAAATTGTGAGATAAGTTTGCTGTTGCCATGTTGTATATTTGGTTTCAGTATATATTTATGTTTCTACCATTGTCCGCATTTAAACAATTCTACCCGACTTGAAGTTTTGTAATCCAAGCTAACAGCTTGTTAGCTCTGCAGTTTCGCCTATCCAATTAGTGTGGTCCGCAACAGTCAAGGTTTTGAGTGTGTGAAGAGCCAACTTGACATCGACAGCTTTATGTCGACGGCAAGTGGTCCTCAGTGGTTTCAAGTATCTCTTTCTGTTTACAAGAGTGAGTGACTCCATGAGCTCATCACTCACCACTATGCATATACTCTTGAGATATAACCAGCTTTTCCTGGTGTTAAAAGTAAAAGGTCGACTCGTGGATTTTTGCCCAAAACTTCTTCCAACTTCCTTCGGGAATGATAAGCGTGAGAGGCCTTAAACAACTTTTACTTCAAATTTATCAAATTTAACCTGAACGGTAGCCCAGCGTATACTTATCTCGTCGATTTTGTCCGCATGATGCACTAGAACATCAAACTGGTGCTGCCCGGAACTCTTGAACCACCGGTGCGAAGTGACGATGACGTAAATTTATGATCTCAACTTCAGTGCTACGTTCTTTCAGTACATAACGAAACACTTACATGCCGGGTCTCAAGAAACATCACGCCCCGGACTCCCATTTTCGAAACCATTAGTTAACCTGTCCCGTCGAAATGGGCGGCATCACCACCACACAACGTGAACGACTGACTCTGCAAAATCAAGGGATCTTGCAGTGTGGCTTGGTACACGAGTGGATTTCGTCCCCTGACGTGGCTACTCACAAAAGTGACCTCCTTCGCATTCAGCTCGGGTCAGTATCGTTCACTTGTAATGTTCGGCTTACCTTCAGAGTTTCAAGTCGGCACGGAATGATGATAAGGACCACAATCCTGGCATCGAATGAGTCAGATAGCGATCTCATGCAGCTCCTAAAGCACTGGCCTCATATCAGAGTTACGAAACTGCATGCAGTCTGCACACACCGGTCTGAGCCTGTTTACGCAAGGGAGGGGGAATACAAGAATCGTCCGTCTTCGATGGCACATAGAAAAAGTTAGCCTCGTCCCTCTGTAATTCTCTGCCATCAAACTCAGATGTGTACTGGGGCCTGTTGAGATTTAGAGAAGAACAGTATGATACTACGAGTAGTAGTTGTGGTCAAATCAGATTTATGGTTTTGAGTCGGCACAAGCATGTCGAGGGCATGAAACAGGTCAACATGGATACAGGATTGATCAATGGCACCTTTGGCAGGCAGGCCTGATTTGCAATGTAACCAAGAAGGCCCGATACTTTCAGTTACTAGGGGAATCGGATGCAGCTGATCAGACTTTAATACGGTGTACACACAGAACGTGGTGCCAGATTTCCAGCGGTTGAGCTTTGCTATTGATGCATATACTCTTGAAGGTTTTCTGACATCAGTGGGTCCAACAATCACACTGCAGATGACAATCCCGGGCAAGAACGCTATACTCATGAAGGCAACGTCACTTCTTACGGGGTTCAAATTTCTTCTTTCTGCGAGAACAAGTATCAAAAACTTTACATCAAGCACTCGGTGAAATCAAGAGGAAGTCAAATGAGGTTCAACAGAGCAGTTCTTCGTTGAAAAAAACCTGTTCGTTAGGATGAAATATTGATTCACCAACAGAATTCTGGCTACTCATGAAAATATCCGCATCTGCGGACTAGTGAAGACTGTGTGTGTACCTTCTAAAACTTGGATGATAATTCCACATCTCCACCTGGTTGGAATTAGAAATGGTGTACAAGAAGCCGTATATGTAGTATTCAGCAACTAGTGATTAGAATGGTGTTGTACCTGAGAGCTATCTGTACTACACTGCCAGACTGACATCCTTAAAAGACCTATTCAGACAACGCAACGAAGAGGAAAAATCTGTTGTGGGGCTTCATATTCTTCAGGGAAAATTTTGAGAAATATGTACATTCTAGGACCAAAACCTGCTGAAGGTGTTGGCTAAGCATTATAAAACATGCTGAGCAGATAATAACAGACAGTGGGGAGTTCTGGGCGTATATCGCCTTATGAGATTCGCAACACTTTTTTAGACAGCAGCCATTTATTAAATTATTTACTAGTCTAGTATAATGAATGTGGCAAGGCACTATATATAACACAAAAAAGGTAAAGGTTTGGAACTACATAATGGTACACTTCTCTTTCGGAGCCTTTTCTGGCTTCGGTGGAGGCACAACGCTTCTCGGCCCCTACAGAACATACAACAACACATTCACATGCAACACATTAGCTTCCACTAGAAGCGCATCTTCACAGCTCGAAGCGGACACATCATGATATCACCTACCTAAAACTAACCGTTTTACCCCTGACTTCGCAGAAGCAGCCAGGTCCAGGGACAAAATGGATATTGGTTCATATGTCAGTGACCCAAGATATAATAAATAAAACCCATTTCTAGAGGCTAAGTTAACGGAACTGAAAAATAAATCAATATTCAGCATGCTGGAGCTTCGAGCGGTCTGAGGCAGGTCGACAACGAGAGCTAAGATTTGTGTAAGAGTGCCAACTCAGTGTCAGTGCGTTCGTTCAAGTGTTATTGGATAAAAGAGATGGTTTTAGGTCTATCTGGTGCTCATCGGCATCTTACAGGGTCAATCATCAGAGGATAAAAAACAGATCCGACCTGTGCGATAATATAATACAAATTTCCCTGGAAACAATAACGTACCGTGACGAGGCGAGTGGAGGTTAAATTGGGACTTTTCGAACTGGGTTGAGTAACACGAGGGGCTGCGGGAGATGGCGAACGCAACTGCTGCTGCTGTTGTTGTTGTTGTTGTTGAGCAAGCTCTTGTTGTTGAAGAGCCATCGCTAACTGCAAATCAGAACTGCTAGCAGAGATGACCCAGTAATCTTAGAACCAGACTAAACACTTCAGTTCAAGGACAAGAGAAGGAGGAAACTTTGAGTTGCAAAGAGAACAGATGTGCACACTATCTAAAGTCCCAGGTTATGTAACCATAAAAGTATCAAAGCTTCACACTGATCCAGGGTATGAATACTAATTCATTAACCTTTTAATTGACTGGTGAATTTGTACACTTGGGGATAGTTGAGCAAGCTCTTTTTCATTTCAATCTGGTGACAGAGCTTTGATACTCCATTTCTCTCGGATATACTTGCATTTCTTGACTAATATTTACCTGTCATAGCCTGAAGACGACAGACCCCAAGCCCTGGATGAGCAGTGCTAGTGACATAGGATGAGGAAGAAAAGGCAGAATTGAGGCGGGACAAAGAATGGAAAGCAGAGACGATTAGTTGAGAGCGAAGATAATTCTTCGTTTAAGTGGAATTTGTCGACACAGAAAATGCTAGGTCAACGTTCCCAAGCTTCATTTTGAGTTTCCTTCGATAACTCACCCACCTTCTAAGATCCGAGGCCACAATATATCTTGCTCGATACACTTTCGAAGGAACTATGAGAGAAATCTATGCTAAACAAGGAAGAAACTTTGGTTCAAAAGAACTTACTAATAACTTGCTCCTTCAGCACCTCCGGCGGTCCCATGATGGGACGACATGTAGTCCTGGTTGAGTACCAATCCAGAGGATTAATTTAAACAATTAACTACAAGAAATGGATTCATTCACGACATAAATAAAACAAACTACGCCTGGTGACGATATGGAACGATTCAGCAGTGATGAAAAAGTTATCGTACCACTTGAAAAGTGATCCTCCTATTTGGCTGACAAAACCAAGACAGCAATTCGTAGTCTGAGGTAAAACTGTCTACAATATTGTGTTAAAAATTTGAGACAGATACGAATGTGCGGTAATAAGAGATCCCGTTGATTGCCTTGACAAGAGTATGTCTTGCAAGCATCGTATCCTCTAACAAGAGAAGTGCTCACCGCAGTTGCAGCAACAGCATCTTGTTCATTCCATGATCCGCTGGTTTGATCCACCTCAAATTGTTGGAAATTACCAGTGTAAAAAGTTGAATTTCCATCAACCTGAGCAACGTCATCGATTAATAGAAGCCTTACATAAATGCAGGATTACATCATGTCCCGACAAAAACGCAAACTATTCGGAATACATGATGTTCATGATGTGTTTATCACAATCAAGAGAATTACTTGCGTACCTCACTCAACTTTTCCCAGACAAGATCTGGTTGATTCAAGTACCCTTGATCGGTGGCCAAAAGGTATATGTGTCCTTCGTTCTGTAGCGGAACAAACATCTTTTCTCAATGCCAGCACCAGTCTCTACATCGTTGGCTTCAATGCAAGTAGTAATTTAAGTCATGCAAATTCTACTAAAAATCGCTTGCAAATCAATATGTTGCGTGTAACTGTAGAAATCGCCAAAATTTTGGCGTTCGCTCCAAATTATTATAAATGATATGCAATTCAGTCCATGTGGATCTATCAGCACTGCAACTGCATCTGTGTAGGGTTACGTTCCCTGCTCACCTTAAATATTGTACTGAAGTGATTGTTTCTGAAGAAAACATACAGCTCATTGTCTTTGAGACCTTCTTGTAAGCTGAACAGCCTGCAAGTTTGATGTCATTCTGCTGTCAAAATCATGATATGTAATAATGCATGCTCTACAACTCTTCAAATAACTGGTGAATCTATTCCAGCATGGACTCTCAATTCGACGCCTTAAAAAAAAGTGCTTACCCATGGTAGGTCAGTTGACTGGCCGTATCACTCAAAAACTTCTCGATAGTCAAACCTGTCCACAGACGCGTTACAAAAAAGTCACATACTGAACACTTGAAACGTCACTGTCAAGATGAAAGAATTTACGTCATGCCGTGAATCTAGTGAATTATCTTCCACAATCATAACACAACGAGAACACCCAGAAAACAAGGGTTGTGTAACTTGGATATAACTTTATGAAGCAAGATTATAAATAAGACTGGCTGATACGTAAGGAGTTAAGTCAAGCACAAGGTCGTGAAGCCTTTATGACAAAAGCTAAACCGAAAGACACGAAATCACAAAAGCAGCTTTCAAGCAGTGGAACCATATTATCTACGGCACTAACAGCGTGTTTGAAGTCTTAGTCTTTTAAAGCAAACATTTTTCTTGCTACACTTCAGTACGCTCGGCAGTTCACCTTCTTTCATAGCATCGCGGGTGTGCTCCTCCTCTTTCAGCTTCTCATTGTAATGCCTTTGACCCGCGGAACTTCCATCCCCACCCAGCACCTGCTCTGCCAATACACTTTCTCCTTCATACATTGGTTCCTTGTCTGCAATAATTGCTACTACATCGGGGATTCGATCTTTCTCACCGATATTTGTTACTCCAGATCCTGTCAAACTAAGTTCCCCTTCGTACAATGGCTCCTCGTCATCGATACCCGAGCTTGCACACTCCTCAGATTCGTCTGGGACGTGACTTGAACTACTCTCTGAAGGAGGCTTATAATTCCGTGGGGACAAGTTTTCAGAAGAAGACCCCAATCCCTCCGTGGATAGACGGCCGTGTTGTTGATAATCCATGGGATCCAAATCCAAGTCCAAATCCAAAGGATCTACGGCTGTCTTCACATCTTCACCGACGGTGAAAATGGAAACATTACTTTCGCAGCTTGGAGACCTTGCGTAATTCTCGACATAAACTGGGGACGACACGTTCACGTCACCAACTGAATTGCTAGACTCTATAATCTCTAGAGGCGTAGGCTTGGCAATCTCCTCGACAGAACGTTCTCCATCAATCGGTTGGATAGGAAGTTGTGCCATGGACAATTCTCTACACACCGGCTTGGCAACATCCTCTCGAGTGACTTCTAGCTCCTCTGGTTGAACAGAAGACTGAACTATGACCGGCTCGTTGTCATCAGCAGTTGTCTTAATATCACTAGAAGAAGTCTTCCCAGCTCCTACTTGTTCCACTACTTCTCTAACTACGCTCCCGCTATCAGGTCCATCTTCTGAATCAAGGTCCGTTTTTGTGGTTGGCAACTCTGACGTGCCACCATCAGCAGTTGCCTGTTCCTGGGGAACTGGTATACTTTCTACCAGCTGTGGCGGCGTCACTGTGACACTGTCATTCCCCACATTCGATAAGCTTCCATCTACAGGAACCTCATGTTCCATCCCGGCTTGAGAGAGCTGCAAAGCCTGCATAAGTTCCGCTGCTTCTTCGTCATCCCCCTTTCTTCTTGGCTTCTCGCTGTCGTGTCTCAAATGCTCAAAAGAGTCAGTGGATACGTTTGACACATTCGACAGATTTTTCAGAAGTATAGGTGTTGGAACACCGAGAGTCGCAGTAGTTGCTGCAGCAAAGTCGACTGTAGGTTCTTCCTCGGCAAGTGCTTTAGCAGATGCCTCCTTTTCCGCTTTGAGAGCATGAAGAGCGACGAGTTTTTCCACAAGAGTGTTGTATGAATTAGCTCCAATAATTGTCGAAGTGACTTCATCCTACAACACAAGACGACGTAAATACTTGAGCGCATAAATTGAAAGTACGGATAGATTAATATACTGAACCTCACTTTATGCTTCCTGACGATTCTCACCTGAAAACTAGAAAGTTGATCAAAAGATCACTAATGAAGTGAAGAATACAAATCCGACTTTATCACAAACATTACAAATCATAAGACCTCAAGAACAAGACATTACACTTAGCTTGGAACGACGAGACAAGTGGACATCTGTAATTTATTAGACAGATTTTACGACTGGTCTAATATGCAAGACAAGGAAAGAGTAAATAAGTCAGAGACAAAAGCGTCAAGCTGGAGTTGGCAAACATGATTTAACTCCCCACATACTCCTGGCGCGCGTGAATATGGAGGTAGGAGAGGATCTGATCCTAAACATCACTCTCCGTTCCAAACCCGAAGCAAAACAAATAACAATTTAGAAAAAGCGGAATGCAAAAATTACTCTACCTGAGGATCGCAAAGCCAGCCATGCACTAGCCCAACATGAAAGAGATCGAAGATCGCGCACTCTCGTGTAAACTCAAAATCATGTATACTGCAAAAGGAAACCCTTTTATGAGTTGAAGGTAGAATAGGAAGAAGTAATCCTCTTAAAAAACAAGGCACAACTCGCTGATTGTGCGGTATTGCAGCTGCATTCAGTTGAAAAAACAATTACGAACATTTTTCTCCAAAATATGTTAAGGTTAATGAAGGTTTACATGGTAGAACTTTCCATTGCAATTCTACCGCTAGGAGAACTTTATTTCCTACCTCGGAGATAAGATATTCACAAGGTAGAAATTCCCGACTCGGATCTGGCTACATATACCAACGCCTATATTGCATATCTCATAGTCCCTCAATATACTTGTGGTCATAGCAAAGCATTTTGTTCATTTCTCAACTGGTAACTGCAGCACCTTTTGGAATTTATCGCTCTCCTCTAACATGGAGTCTATTTGATACTGAGTTGAAATGGAAGTAAACTAACTGTGAAAGCAACGATTCCAAAAACAAAACCAATGAAGAAATTCATGATGTATATAGTTGGACTTGCTACGGCCTGGTTATGAAATTAAACTGATGAAATACACCAATAAAACAGACTGCAATGTATGGAGGTAAGTATAAAGCTCCAATGTAGGGGAATACTCTTCTATAATGAAGTAAGTTCAGAACAAGATGAGACTTTGTTACTAATCTGCTATAAAGAGAATAGATTTAGAAGTACTGCAGTTCAGTTGCATGTGTTGTGGGTACTAATGGAAGAGCTCAGTCCATCACTGACAAAGTATGTTTTCTCCAAATTGTGTGCAAAAGACTGCCTCTCACACAAATAGATTCCTAGATGGAAAGGATGACCAAATCAGTTGAGAGCTAGGAGAAACAAAGTAAAGTTATCACGTGAAAAACATTGATAGAAGAAGTCCTGAACTGATAAATTCATAAAATAGTTTCCTCTGTTACTTTTAGTATATTCTAACTCAGAATATCAATTGCTGACCGTCCATACTTGAAAGGACATTTTTTAGCAATCTACAAGGCATGCTGAGAGTTCTTAAAGGACAACTTCTACCTCAATAAATTCTACAGATTGAAGGGGTTATACTTTCTATGTATCCCTGCAGCAATTGGTATTGAATGGCTACAGGATACCAATAGTAATATACATAAATTGATCATGTTGACAAGACGTGAATTCCGAGCGGTACATGGAAGTTGAAAAAAGACAAGGAAAATTGATAAGACTGGCTACTTCTTTAAAATAATCTAGCAGTGGCTCTCTGCGATCTGCGATACAATCAAGGTGGGCTCATCGCCTGATTGACATGGACCATACTCTCGAAATCATAGCTCAGAAAGAAACAAATTTGAGAACGGGAGCGCCGCACTCTATCTATTGTCTCAGGACAAGTCCAGATGGCTTATAGAATATCTATGAGCCAACTGAACTTTTACATTGCTAGGACATGGAAGAAAATTTCAGGATTGAAACTGGTGCGGAAAGATGGTGATCTTTCTTATCCACGTTCTTAATTAAAATTTAGAATGTGTGTCCTCTGACCTCTACACTGTAATATATTTACTGAAATGACAATCCTGAATTATATTTTACATGGGTTAATTTTTTAGCCCAAACAAACCATAACAATCTCCTACTTTAGAGAGACACGGATCCCCAGAAATTGGACGTACCAGGTTTTCCAACATGTTTCTGATCGCGTACGGTCAACTACCATAGCTCTACAACAAGTTCAATGCTAGAAACGACAAGGGAGAAGGTCGGTTACTTCACTGTCTGAAGCGCACATTGACGTCTATGCCTGTGGCAAGGCGTGGAAGAAGCTGAATAGCATCTTCAATGTTCTGTTGTTGGTTTTTTACATATTCATCATCTTTATTCTGTGGGACAACAACAATGTATTAGAATCAAACCAACACCAACATGAATTTTAATGGCACATGTCTCGACTTAACCGTAATACAACAACATACAGACCACGTATTCCTTCACAACTACATATACGATGCCATAATGCGCTTCATGATATTGGAATTGCTACAACATTCCAATGTTTTAACACTGAACAATCAACAGAGATAGTGTTCTACAGTACAGAGAATAAAGAGTAAAACCTCTAGCAAAGATGATGCACAAACCTGGACATTGCTATTGGCGTCAAGAAGCCATTCGGCAACTAGAGACATTAATTCCCGTTGAGATATTTCTGACATGTCAAGATTCAGAGTCACATTGTTTCTGAGTAATAGGACGTTACCTGCAGCGAGGAAGAGGAAATTGAAAAGAATTAGGTTTCGTCTTGAAAAACTGATCCGCGCATTGAGATTTCACAGCATCAGCTACTCAAACCAGAAGAAGCTCGGAGCTCGATGAAAAGATCATATGTCCTACGCTAGTGGACGGTGATAATACTTACTGACGGCGAGTAGAGGACAAGGCCCATTGTCGTTTTGCAAAATAATCGGCACTGATCGACCGAGAGTGTTCACAACTTTCATTTTATACACGATACTCGACCCATCCCTTTCCTCTTCTTCCGACCCCATGGCGACCCTGCTGCTTTACAACCTGCAATCCAAAGTACACATTGATATAACTCAATACTACTGTCATGTATTGCATGAAAACATTGCTTGCAAACGTAACATACAACCTGATGAAACTGAAGACTGTGCTCGAGACAAAGATGAATTGTGGGCGATTTTTCTGCTATAAATCATGCTGGATATGCTGCGATCAAATTTTAATCTGAATCAAATTAGCAGGCTTAGAGTTTACAATCATGTAATGTACATTCATCTGAAAACTTCTTGGCGCAATGAAATTTTGTTTTCTCAAGGACCTTGACCGCAAAATGGCAGCCCAACTCTGCCACGCAAGTGGCAGCTACGTCCCCATGCAAATTAGTCAGCATTTCCGAGTTTCCTCGTGTCAGAATGCAAGGCTCAATAATCTGCATCGCTCAGCTAACAAATTCGCTCCAGAATGAGAGCATGTCTAATTAAGACAAGTGGCGACGTGAATAACGTGGGCAGACGGCCAGATCGACGTCAACATCTGACAGCGACAACTTGACAAATAGATGCACGTCTTTTTAAGGATAATGGCTGGAAATCAGATTTGAGTGTACATCCGCAGCTACTACATGTCCCACTTAGTTACAGCAAACCCTAGAGACAGAATTTGCGTATGCCAAATGAAACACGGCAAATCAGCACCTGACAGTCATGCATTTGGCCTGTCTGTCCGCAGACGAAATCAAGCACTCACCCTATCCTGTCGGATCCGACAGCGGCAGCTGATTAACTCTCTCCGCTCACGAACCCCAGTTGTCCATGCTCCAATTCCCGCTTTTCCGACCGAAGTCGCTTCCCCGCTATACCACCAAAAACGAGAGTCACTTCATGAACGCCTGGTATCGCACATCAATCCAAGCCCCTCTCACTGATGAGACAATCACCTCTGCTTTGCCCTTCTCTGCTCTTTACTTTCGGCCTCACCTCACCTCACCTCACCTCTCCGCTCCTTACCTTTCCTCTCCTCTCCTCGTCTCGCCTGCCAGCTTGATTGCAACACCTCAATAGAATTGCTCCATTGCAGATCGATCAACTTCTCGATCTCTCTTCGGCGTTTCCCCTGCCATCCTCTGCCTCTCTGTGAGCATGTCTCGAGTTTCGGGTAAATTTCCTCACTCCACTTCACAACACTTCAGTCAAGGATAAACCGATCTCCATTTCTCCCTCGAGGAAATCCTTGAACTTGCAACTCCCTAGCTCTTGCTTCCTTCATTCCAACCCCACCTCGCGCTGTCAAAAGTGGACTCCTCGAATTATTAACTATCCATTAACCCCCTTTATTATATCAAAAAATACTACTCTAACGAAAAACTTTGTGCTTGCGCCTTCCCTTTAATAATTTTTGTTGGGGCCTCTTCGCCTCATTTGCGTCCAATGTCCTCCACTCCCACCTTCACATTTTCTCTCCCATTCAATGATCGTTCCGGCAAAAATTTAGAATATGCCCAAATCCCCAGTGCTGCAAGAGGGAGGGACGGAGGGACGGAGGCATTTGTCTCGCAAGTAGAAGGACTCAAATTCAGAGATATAATCGAAAGCTGCTAGCGTCCTCGAAGCTCATACGACAAGAATTGGCTTGTCATATTTTGCTGAGGTTAAAATTTCGTCTGGTAAAGGAAGGGCCCCATGGTCCCATCCTTCAGCCCCAACCCTCCTGCCCAGCCAGCCCAGCCCAGCACAGCCTTGCCTTGTCCGGACCTGCATTGCACAACACAAAGCAACAAGCTCCAGCAAAGACTGGTGCTAAACGAAACCTATCATCAAGGTCAACAATTCTTGATGGCAAGGGTAGAAATATCTGAATATTGTTTGACGCGAGGAGATGTATTACTTTAGTTTTGTAAAAGTCAAATGATGCAGGTTGAACCCACCTTTGGGGGAAATGTTTCTTTCTATTCCTTTAGGAGTTCTTGTTCCCTTTTCATCCATCCAGATCTACCATCCTGCTTGCAACAAGGAATGATCCATTCTCGATGTGCCGGAACCTACTCGATATATCTCTCGCCATAGATCCCACCCGTGAGATTAGTTGTAGCCTTTCCCTTTCCGGAATTTCGAATTCTTAATTTAGAGGCATCACCTCCACCTCGATTCAGTCAACCCCACGAGGTTTCCAAATTTAAGTTATCCATGTTATGATTACTTGAATTGAAGGAGATCTGCAATCTTCCTTTGTCTGCTCCCCACACAAGCATCCAATCCCAATTCCACCCCTACCTCTATGTTGCCAAAACTTAGCGTCAAATCTTTCATGTGACGGCAAGTCCCTCGGTCTTTAGGCGTGGTGGATTTGCAGGTCCTTTTCTTGAAATGCAGGTCTTCCTTCGTCGTCGTTCTTGTAGCGGCGTCTGCCTTGACCTCCCTGGCGACAAATTACGGTGGCGGGACGGAACTGGAGAGGATGACCTGACAACCAAATACGTAATGCTTCCAAGGAGGCAGACAGAGCGCGGATATCTGGTGGCATTTTCGGCCGTTTTGGCCCTCGCTAAATATCAGTATTCTGCTTACAGAGCTGAAAAGATGTGAACAATGTGTGTAGGAACGAACGGGGGAGATAATGAGTTGTGAGTTGTGGCGGGGGGGCATGTGATGCAAAGAAGTGGTCGAGCTTCCCGTGGTGAAGCCTCGGTGAAAGATTCGTTCCCTAGCTCCAGAAGAGAGCGAACAGTATGCGCCCTGATCTATTGGACAGCACGGATCTTGGACCATCGTAGGGGTCCATCTGAGTGGTCGACACAGCATGCATCTAAACCAATGCACACGAGCTTCACCATTTTGGGGTGAGCTGTTCTCCACACAAATTTCCCAACTGTGATTGTATGTGTCTCATCCTCGTCGCAGGCACGGCGCCCTCTCCTGCCTCTCGTTGCAGCTTAGGGTTGTGATCGTTCTTCTCTCGACAGCGTTTGTGTCAGAATGTCACGCTCGCATCAAGAGACGATGATCATGGAAGGTTCCGGAAAAAGCTTCTGAAGGGTGTGATGTGTTACGTCGATCAGCAGTGCTCTTCTGAGCGGGCGATTTCGGGTCGCGCGTGCACAATGTGCAACTTTGAAGAACTTTTCTGCTGAAGGAACTTCTGAATGCCCGGGGACTCACGGCTCCTCCACAGGTTCAGACACAACGCCGATGAAAGTTGCGTTTAAGAGCATGAAATTGCCAACAGGCAAACGATAGAACCTCAAAAGACCCCACTTCTGCTCTGTTCCATGTCCACTTCAACCTACGGAGTTTGTCTTGAACCTGAATCGCTGGGACTGCCAATTATAAGATCCTGAGGATCCAACCTCACGCACGCAAGAAGGCACGCAGTCAGTCAGTAGGTCCGTCCACAGTTCGACTTTGTCACGCAAATGTCTGAACAGGAGGTGCTGTACGATGTGGCGCGCACGTGCTGGCTGTATCTGTGCGGGCAGGGTGCCGTGAAACGTCGGACGCTGGACCGCGAGAAAAAATTTCTTCTGCAGCCCTTGCGAACGAAAGCAGCCAAATGCAAAAGCGTGTAAGGAACAGTAACAGGCTGGAAAAGCAGAAGATTGTCGGTGGGAAGTCTATGCGTTTTCTTTCGTTCTTCAAACACCGACGTGGGAAACTATTCCGAGTCCTGAGAGGTGTTAACTATCGCGTGGAATGGAGTTAAATGGGCATGGTCTGCGTCGTACATATCTGTAGAGGTACTGTCCGTGTGCGCATGCGAGAGACACATGGACGAGAGGAGAGAGTGTGTGTGATGCGTTATTTGACGTTAGCGTCGTCATGAAGTTGAGAAACTTGTCGTATATGTGTGCAGCAAGTGGAGTGACGTGAAAAAGTCGTCTTTGTCGGCCTCGTCCTTATAAATGGAAAGATTGGGCCGGAAGTCTGGATCGTACGAATCGGCCGGGTCGTTAATGGACAGCGTATTTCACAAAAGGGCCTGAAACAGAAAGGCAGTTCAACAGCAGAGAAGCCTCTGACATCAAGCTCGAAGTGATTGTCCGGCGGAAAGGGTTTTAAAAACAGGGTCAAGAATTCAATTACGTCGGCACCATGACGCCTCCACATACAACTGCAAAGTCACATCACACGACTCCGATGACAAACATGGAATGTGAAACTTTGCCTTTTCCCTAGACAACAAGTGGAAAGTGGAACTTGTAGATTGACAGCAGGAATCGTCGTAATCAAAATCTATTGCATCTCCAGGGACAAAAGAAGACTCAGAGCATACTGAAGACCCAATGGGGTCGGTCCTTTGCGGTTAAGACATTTGACTCTTACTGTGAACCTTTAGAGATAAAATGTCAAAATCCTACTCTCAAATTAAGACGTCTTGACAATCTACCAGAGCCGTAAGAAAATCACAGTTATGGTGGTCGTCCTCTCCGTTTCTGTGAAAGTTTCGGGGAAAGATTTGAGAAGCTGTAGATGCGTTCTCCTCCTATCATTGATTCCAGACATCCTGCATCCAAACAAATCTGCCTACGTATCTAAAAAGCAGGACATATCTTTGGATAGCGAATGCCATTTTAGCCGTGAGAGCCATTCTTAAAATGGGGCTCTTCTGAGGACACATGCGTTGCATCAGACCTGTCTTTCAAAGTCTAGGTTTATGTCTACACTTGTGCACGAAAACTTGCAACTCATGAACTTCAATCCGTGGTCCTTCCACGAGTGGGAAAGCTGAACCTTCTGTTCATTCACATGGCAGACTGAGGCTGGATGGTGGCAATGCACTCAATTTCGATTCGGGCATTCAAGGGCAAAGCCGCAACTTGATATGTAGACCGAGCCGGGGCAGGTGCGGGGAAATCTACACATCCAAAAGAGATATCAATTCATCGAACATTACGAGACAACTATCCTAGTGTAAACATCAAACGTCAAACACCGAAAATCTGCTGTGACATCCATCATAACGTTTCTCAAATTCCTCCATAACTTCTCTAACATGCACATTTCTCTAAAGTAGCTGCATCAACAACGGACAGGAACTCACACTTGGCGTAAATCTCGTTCACAGTCTTGAAATCAGCAAGATCTGCCAACCTGGAACAATCCATTACCAAGATGAACAGAATCAGGAAATGAGAAATTATGAAATGAGAGCACCAATTAAGGAAAAAACGTATCGGCCAAGAAGGTACTATGAGAGCTACTGAGCATGGTACAACCGACGTAGACTCAAATGTTTGGCGACAAACAATGAGAATCTGGAAGCATAATAGCTATTTCAAGGTCATCATGATGGATGATTCTGTCCAATGTCCCATTAAACACACAGCTTATACAATGTTGGGGTCTCACATGATTGTAGTCTTGACGACTGATTCATAACTGGCACCTCCAGCCTTCAGGATTTCACCCATATTTGCCATGATCTGCAGGTCCAAGACAAATGCCATGAGAGATACTGACATTGCATGTGGGCAGCAGAGACTTTCTTCAGTATCGGCCCTTACTCCCTACTTGAGCTATTTGATGTTGAAGGAAGGAAACAACTGAATAAGCACCATACGATCCACCCTCGGACTTTAAGATTGTCAAGAGCTATTCGATGATCCATTCTTGCTGGACAGTGTGATGAGCACATCTTCTTTTTCAAAAACAAATATGATTGGATGATTGCGTGACAAAGTGAATTGCACCTGTTCAGTCTGGCCTTCAACAGATTCCGAGACGAACTGTCCTGTCTACATTTACAACGCAAATCAGGTTTAGAAATCATGGTTTAGGTTTTGCACCCTATTATTATCTACGCACAAGATCAACCCAGAAACAAGATTTTCCAGCAACATGCTGAAGAACGTGAGTAAATTTCACCAGGTACGTGAGAATGTCATAACCCGTCAAATTGTGGACACAAAGCCTTACCTTCGGATCAAGTCCTAGGATTCCGGAACAATACAAAACATTGTTCGCCTTGATCGCTTGGGAGTAAGGTCCCAAAGCAGCTGGCGCTTTATCGGTCTTCACGCATTCTTTCGCCATTGCTACACACCGACACCACCAACTCCTCGTTATGATACACTAAAATGATCTCAAATATCAAGTTGATAATTTCCACAGGGATAGACATTAAGTGTACACTTCGGTGCTCAAGCAACCACGGCGATGCTGTCGTACTCATTGACTTCTCTTTACTTCCTTCTGCAGGGATCTAGCCAGTTGCACGTCGCACATTCTAAATTTTCCCGGATCTGGCTGTACTCCAGGTCTCATATTCATGACCATTCCCAAAGTACATGGTACTATCGTAGAGGAAACATTCAGATTTTTATATCTACGTGGTTCACTGAATACACTAGCCTTGATCGAAACACAAAAACGACAGAGCTCGTCACTGGAGTTTCATAAATCTCACGTATATGCGTTGATTTAACGACTCTTGGTTGATTCTCAAAAACTCCGAACTAGTCTCATGGGAAGAAGGACCCTAATTGCTCTCAGGTAGTTGTTCTCTTCTTCGTCTCCTCTCACAGAATCTTCTACTACTTCTAGATCTCTTCATACAAATCCTGGCTGAGCAGAGCGCGGCAGTGGTGCCGTCCGAACTATGACAGGCGCATGGTAATGGAATGCTGTCATTGGGAGTGATTAAGTATCAAAATTAAGGCTAATGTATTTAAAAAAACTGCAAAGATCCAGGGAAGTAACAACAAAAATGCTTCTTCCGCAGTCTCCTCCGAACATGATCTACTCACGAGAAGAATCCAGTTGACAGAGTTGCCTTCTCCTCACACTGAACAGAAAGAAAAGCCTGAACTCTACGAAGCGACATCCGCTGCAACCAATTCAGGGTTCTAAGAGCATTGAGAAGCAACAATTTGCGCGGGAGATCACGCTCTCCGACAAGCGAGCGTCCAGTATAATTCCAACATCAGCTGATGACTACACCAAAAAGGGGAAATCACCAATTGAGTGAAATTCAAACACCAATCACGAAAGCGGGGGCCGGAAGTTCACGTACATGTTTGCAGGATGCTCTGAGTTGACCTGCGTCGGGCCAGGCGCAATGAAGGAAACCGGTCTCCCAAGGGAATCTTAAATCCTAGGGCCGAATTTCTGGATAGAAAGCCATGCTTGAAAGATGAGCGCACGACTGTACAACCTGTACCCAGAAGCGCACTGGAACCAGCAGCCGTGGCCATGTATGCTGTAGGTGCGAGCAAGCTTTTCTTCTTAATCAAGCAGCTGCCGCTGAGAGAGCAGGCAGGGCCTACCAGAGAGCGAGAAGAGAGGGTGGGGAGAGGCCGAGGCGGAGGGAGAAATGTTCACATACAGACTCCGTGTTCACTCACCATAGCCGAGCAGGAAGAGAGTGCAGCTTCCTGACCGGACTCTTCGCCTCTAAATCTTAATTTCGCCCAGGTTCAGGTGTAACTCCGTCCCCCACCGCCCGCTCACACATTTTACTACTCCTTGTTGTTGGGTGCCAGAAGTTCCTATTCTGGACTATTATGCTCCTCGATTCCATCTGTTACCGAATTTTATATATTCACGAGAACAAAGTCTCCGCTATCCACACGCGTATTCGTAGATTCTTTCTAGTGCTTCCCACGCAATCCGAGCGCCGCGTTGCGACTAAGTTGCACCCAAGTCCAGCCATCTTTCCCGCAAGGTAACTTTGTTGCATTCGTATCATGCCTCTCCTCCGCTCACATCTACGGAGCAACAGGGTTGCGAATTTACTGGCACTTTCAGTACACCTAGCTTCGACATGGTATCCAGTAGTCTACAACAAAGGGACAAATCAAAGGCTTTGTTTTGTCCCTTTGATATATTGATGATATGAGGGGGCTTTGTTTTGTCCCTTTGATATATTGATGATATGAGGGAGAGCATCCTATTACAATCTCAACCTCACGTAGCTTTACTTGTGGCATTTTTCAATTTTGGAAGTATTGTAGTTGATTAGAGAATTTATCGTCGTCTACGGAGATTAGATTTTCAAACTTATTGTAATTCGCAGAGTAACGAAATTAGGTTTTTCTACCACGCAGTCTAGTACATCCAATTGTGCAACAGACATCTACAACATATCCAATGATACCATACTCCATCAATTTGCACAAATGGTTGTAATATGTGGTGAAAAAACTATATATTGTCTATTATGAACTCTAAATTTCAGTGAGAACATTTAGTAATGTACAGAAGAGTACGGTATACTCCGTGCTGCACGTGTATGGAACGAAATGGGTAACTTGGAACAAACCCCCAATACATCAGTCAAGAATGTTTTACTGCACCATTCCTTAAAACACTCTACAAAAGCGACTGTGATTTGACTGTGCTGTGTGCTGTAGAAGTCAATCCAAGCACATGAACAGGATAAATCCGGAAAAGATGTAAAAAGATGACCCAAACTTCAACGTAAATGGTGTTGCCCTCAAGAAATTGGTCACGACAGACCCCGTTAGAAAGTTACTGATAACTTCATTTCTCAACGGAGACTTTATTTGTGCGAAGAGTTACTCCTTACACACGACGAATGTATCGAGAAATGGTGACAGAAAGTGTCATATTTTTTGAGATTTTAGTTCGGGCAGAAGCAAACGGGATCGTATGCATCGGAAGCTTCACAGGAATGCGTATCCTTAACAGTTCCCTGATTGCGCAGAACGGGGGAAAAGTGTTGCCGGTGGTAGAGACTTTTGGCTTCCTCCCAGTGAGACGAAGAGACTGGACATCACACCCGCATTTGGTGCCGATAAAATTGCGCTGCTAAAGTACCTGACATCCGCTACAAGATCGACCAACACACGAAAGATTGGACAAAAATCTAGGCAATGGGATATGTCAAGATATTATAACCACGAGGGGCACGTAGCATGGAGTATAGGAACACTTCCTATCTTCATCTGCACCTCTTTACTGGTCCCACGGAATCAGATGATCAGATCAGGTAATGAATGCATGGTCCATGCTTCAGAAGTCTACAAAGTCTACAGTAAAGGCAACTAGGTCAAAGTCCAGAATCCCAACACGAAGTACAGGCAAGTACTACGGGCCACTCACATAGCAAAAAGCAGATATGGACAAAATCAGATCACCATAAAAGACTGTAACGGAGGCAGCACGTGAGTGACCCAAAACACAGACGTAATAGAGAAAAGAATCTGCAAAAGCCACATGACCTCTCCACCAGTAATTTTCTAAAAACTGCATATGTTTCATCATCTGACTTTGCTTCAATCTGTTTCAGATGAATAATTCCTCAGACGGAGAATTTACACATCACAAGTCCCTTTTCGTTACACAAAGAAAACCTGTAAATTCTGTGCAGTAGCCTGAAACCAATCCATGGTCAAGGGTTTAGGTCTATGATGAAGTGGTGTAACTTACTCAAAACATGGCACAGGAGTGTGAACTTGAGAAAATGAAGCAAATGGTCAAATACCCAAGCCGCATGTTGCCTGGTCTCATGATGCTATCAATAACCTTCGTACTTTAATTGCTCCGATGCTACCTACTCCGCGTGTCTCCACTAAACGTAAATGGCACACTCCTACCAAAAAAGATCTCGATCCACATGAACTAAAGGACCTGGATCTCTGCCGCTAACTGAGTGTTAAGTATGAGTTACTGCAGTCCTTCGATGCAAGCGAATAAACTTAGTCCACAGACCCTGCAAAAGCGGCTCAAGCACTAGCGAAAGTTGTGACTTGTAAGCTCCATACGCACCAATCATCATGGCAGCAGTGCACATTTCCAATCCAGGGCAGGAAAACTTTACCACCATGAAGAAACTTCAGGCTGCAGGTCAAAAGCAAACTTCACTTATTTCGTATTTCAGGTTTCTTTTATTTGCACGTGGGAAATAATCTCAATAAACAAGAATTTTGCCCGCTCTTCAATATGCATGATACAGCATGACAGTGATAATGGTAGCAAAGCTGATCTGCTAAGTTCTCAGAAAAAATAAGAATGATACTTTCGTGCTGATACATACATAATGTAGGACCCTCAAAAATCTCCAATTGCCAGCTATATCTTGACTGGCCCATATGGCTAGCATCTCTGCAAGAGGGCCACAATAAATCTAGTGATAAGGACCCTTTTCTATACAAGGTGAAATAGCCAATGAGTTTGTCGCCCTCAAGAGAGAGCCATGGTGGATCTTCGGAGCACTGTGGGCACTGAAATGGGACTCCTCTACAGACGGACTGGATAATGATTCAGACGTACTCACTGAGGTGGATCGGGCTGAAATTATCTAAACAGCAACGCTCTTGTCTAAACACTTCGACACCATGTCAGAGCTAAGATTGCTCTGCTACAATTAGCGCCCACAAGCCCTTCTCTCAAAATCTCGTAACACTTTGCCAATAGGCCAATTACTAATCAATACAGAGGCAACAGCTAATAGTTGTCTCGAGTTTGCAATAAAAGATACAGGCTGAGTCTAATCGTCACAGGATGAGAAAAACAGACTGCTGAGGCACGATTTGAATGAGTACCTCACCACTAACTGCCTCACTTAGAAATTGGGAAAGTGGTGCCTGCTGCGTCTCACAACAAGAGAGAACTGGGTAACCGGGTATAGCCAATCACACCACATGGACAGGCAATGTCTTCTGCACCCTGCATCCATATCCAGAGGCAGAAAGGTTGCATAGCGAGGATTTGAGTTTAGGATAAGGCTTTCCTTTGCATAAGGACCTGGCTTTTGTGATCAGAATATGCAACTGCACATCATCAGGTAACCTTTTTTTCCGCTTTGAAAAAAAGATTCGGCCATTTTTTCTTACCGGATTTGTCTTTTTCTTTACCATCTGATTGTGATTCATCTGACACCCCTTCCTCTTCACTGTCTTTAGCATGCTTAGAATTTTTAGAATCGTCACTAGCAACCTTAATATTCGCACCGCTACTGCTTCTTTTCGGTGGCGGGTGCGCTGTAAACGACTCATGTATCCTGTCTCGTGTCTTGAGAAGGTCCTCGACCTGAAAAGCGAAAATTTGTCAGCCGTTTCTTCACGTTGAAATATCCACATCACGATGACCGAGTAAGCCAAAAAACACACACTTTTCCCCCAAGGACAATAGAGAACATCCGATTACGTGCAAAGATCGGGCAAAAATAACTCACCGCAGTTTTCTCCTGTCCGTATCTAGTAGTGACCGCCGTGAAGCGTTGTAGTACCTGGATGAGAAATCATTAATACAGCAACAACGCGGCTCAGCGATACTCAAGGCTTATGGGACTAGACCGGTAGGAAAGCAAGAAATATATAATTCCAAACGCACGGAAGGAACCTTTTATCCACACTTCTGTGATCCAAATACGTACTGAAGAGTTAGCACCATTCACCATCTAAGACTCGAAGGCTTATCTCCACGGAAAAACCAAAGGGATGCGAACACCTCACCTCTCTGTACTCGGCTTCAAATTGACGCAGTTCATTTCGTTTTGCTAGAATCTGTTGTTCTACATCCTTCAATTTCTCACAAGATTCGGTGAAGGAGTCTGCACAGACAGCTTCTATCGTGTAGCTGGCACTCTTGAAGAAATTGTCACCTGCCAGTGGGATAAATTACATACATAAATTAACCTGCATATGATTGCGTCGGTACAATTAGCATGCAGGCTGATCGTACCTCTGATTCTCAAAGTAGAGACAACACTAACGACAAATATTTCAAATTCTGTAACCCGGGATCCAGGTAGAAATGAATCACCCCCTTGGGATACAAATAAGAGCAGAGGTATCACGTAGGCGAACATACAAACTGGATGACAAGAAGGGAGCAAAATCACGAAGTAGTCATCTTACCATACACAGCGAAGTAATGTGGCCCTGCTTTTAGCTCGGACATTTCAACAGGTTGCAGACCTTCTAACTTCTTAAAAATTTCTGCATCAGGATCTTTCGCAATGGACAACTGGAACCACACGGATGTATTAAAACGGAATCTACCAAACACAGGATAATTGAGAGAACTAAAATTTAAACCAAAACATAAATACAAAAGTTCTACGAGGCTCAAAGGATAAATCATCAAATTGGAAGTCTCCCCTAGGCTGACAAACAATTTTGCTGTGATAAGAGGTAACCTCCTCAGAGCGGAAACTACATGGTCAGTGTACTTGTAAACATTAGAGTTAAACGAGACCATCAGATGAACTACATGGCACCGTAAAGAATTTGAGGCAACTTGAAACTTACCGCGTTCACAGTCGGGTCCAAGCGATACACTTGGAAATGAAGGAAGTAAAATCCAGCAGATGTCACCTTCCCGGTCTTCACGCTGTCTTCCTGGAACAAAGTTGAGAAAAATACAGACCTGAGAACCCGAGAAAATCCTCCGCGGTTTCAAGCTCAGCGATTTCGAAGACCAACCGAAGGCAGACCTCAATGTCCGTTTGGTGGCCGCAAACACGCATATATGACTTGCGAAAACGAAAACTTCACAGCACCTCAATGCACAGACGAGATAGATGTTACTCGGCAGACACATTGCCCAACTAATTTTTGGCCTATGAGAGGTATGGTACCTGCAGTGCCAATCCCAATCCTCCGTTCTCTTCTTGCTCAAAGTACAAGAGCTGCCACCCATACCAATCAAAACTTTATAGTTAGCGACAAAAACGGATGGCCTCATTGGTAGAATTCACACTGAAAACGAGTGGCGCAAGAGTATATTCATACTTTGAATTTACTTTGGGCGGTAGAGGTCACTCGAACGACCACACCAGCCTCCGCTTGGGCTTCTGAGATGCTGACACCGTAGAAATGGGCACCTTGCTTCTCTACCTGCCGACAAAAAATTCGCAAAGAATGGAAATTAGACCACATAAACTACATAACCTGAACTAGTACAAAACAGTTCTCCAGAAGCTACCATCGAACTCACAAATGAAGGATACAGAGTAAAAAAATCACCTTGTCATTGACCGGGCGATTTAAGGGCAAAGGTCTCACAGTCACAGTATTACTCAAGGCCTCCTCAAGAACGTTCGCAGATATGGTGGTCTTGATGGGAACTCCCAGCTTGCTGCGAAATACAAGCAGATAAACCTGTTTAATTTTTCTATGTACACAAAAGGTTCTGTGAAACAAATGTAATTTTGCATCTAGAGTGTGAATTTGTGCAACTATCCTTCGCAACAAAATACCGATGAACTCCCACACCACCACTCTGTTTGTGTAACTAGACGGATAATTTATCAGAACTTTATAGGAATACAATGCCCCATTCCCATCAAAGTACACATTTTCGAATTCCCTCCATTGTCATTTTCGGGCTTACCTGAACAAAGCTGCAAACATTGTGTTTACTGTGCCGAGATTAGATAGATCAAGCTCCATATCGATGCCTTCGAGATCCACAGCCTGCTCAAATTACAAAAAAAATGCTCAAAAACTTAATTAGAAAAAAATTACTTACTTCAAGCTAGTAAGACAAAAGGCCGCGCTCTTACTGTACAGAAAAGACTTCGATATATTTTGTGATGCTGTGGAGATGAACTTTACGTTCAGTTGAAGATTATCACGAGAAGTCTTTTGGGTAAACTCCCTGAATACTAGAATACTGACAGACTCTCTCCAGACTTCATGAAAACAGTCATACCTCAAAGCCGGCCGCGTCATACTGCCTTCGTTTTTCAGGATCCGAAAGGATGCCGTAGGAGTAAGCAACTTCTTTGAACAATTCCGACGCTTCAGGATTACTTGCATTTTTGTCCGGATGGTATCTGGCAACAACACAGAAGGTGTTAGGCTAGCTGTAAGAGGACAACACAGCCGGCAGGACAAGCAGCATAGAAAAATAACCTCTGTGAATTTGCCAGCTGCGATATTCTTTGCTGCAAATGAGATTGATGTTAAAGATTCGCTTTGTGCTGTACCGGAGCTCCAAGGTCAGAGTTGTGTTAAGGCAACGAACACAGACAACCACCAACGTCAACATCCTTGAGAAACACGTTTTGAAAATTAAGGTAGAAATACGTTAGGAAGATCATGCCGACCCAACTAGGCCTGTACCTATGATCATCAACATACCATACTAGTTTTTCCTGTAGGGGTATCCTCGATGTTCGTATTGTGTGACTCTTCAGTTAACTTCGAGGGTTGTGAAAAGGATTCGGTTACGGAAGACATTGAGGAAAACAAGTTATAAACGCACATTACCGTATCTCGAGCTAAGGAGAACACATTTTTCAGAAGCTAGACCCGCTTCTAGAATCACGAGACCTGTTCATGCCTTCTTAGTCTTGAAAACATGAGACTGATTCACACTAGGTAGGGCCGAAGCTTGAAAGATATCCAAAAAGCTAGACCAAGAATTCCGAACGCTTAAAGTCCTGGCATCTTCTCAACTGACCTTACAGGATTTGTGAGTGATCTTCTTTTGTCTCATAGGAGAAAGTTACAACAACCTAAATTAACAGCAATGAAATTTGCAGGTGGTTGGTTCCGAAAACAAGCAACGCAGCACATGCAGTCCTGTCTGAAGTTGTGCATGACACCCAGTGCAGGAATCTGAACGGAATCAAGAGTCGGCACTGCATCCCGTTCGCGATAAACTTACCTTGTACAGTAAAAACTAATTGCTTCTACCTAGACATCCTGTCAGATCAGATCACGCATCCATCTTCGGTGGACTTGAGAATGAAACAGTAGGCGGTAGCGATATCAAATTTGAAGAACACGTGAGTCGGCATGACTTCTCTTAACCAGTCAAAAAGGTTCGCATGGGAATCAGCTTTAGGAAGTCATCAGGCTGCCCTTTGGAGGCTTACTTCAGCGCCAGTTTCCGATATGCAGTTTTGATTTGCTGATCAGAGGCATTTCGAGGAACTCCAAGAACTTCGTACGGATCCCGACGTCCCGCGGAGGACACAGTCTGCCCGCCATCCCGGGCTGCTGCGTCCGCCATTTTCGACCACTTCCGCCCTCTCCAACCCCAAAATCCTTCGAAATCTGTGAAAACTTCCCAACCTGTATTGATCTGTAGCCCTGAACGACTTCTGTCACCGCTACTCCTCCCGCTCGCGTCTCCAAACTACACAACCTCCCCATAACTCTCCATGTTCTCTTCCTCTTCGCAAGTCAATCTACCCGCCTCCATCTGATTTCTTCTCTTGCCCTCGCCTCGTCGTGTATCATGAATCTGTCTTCGTCCTCGGCGTTTGCTTGCTCGTCGGGCGTTCCTTTCTCCTCGCTCTCTTGCTTGAAGCCGACGTCCCTAAGACCTCCAACTACACAAATCAAACGAATCCGCACTCAGAAACCTGCGCTATCCAGGTCCGACTTCTTGAACTCTCCTGGAAACACAAGAGCCCCGTAGATCACCAACACCACCAACCCTTCCACTCCCTCGTCCTCGTCCCAACTTCGGGGAAAAAGTTAGACACCTCCCGCTACAATAAATAGTAAGAACCTTCAAAATTTCGCGTATATTCTCCTCGCTAGGGCAGGACCGCGCACTCCTTCCTTCCTTCCTTCCTACACCAAGCTCCCCTCCTCCACCACTAGCGCAGGGGTCTGCTCAGAATCCTCGTCCTCTGCATCATAATCGACGACTTAAAAACGCAAAAGGCGACAGGATCGTCGTAAACTGCAAACAACAAAACACGCCACGCGACGCCACGCGAGGGAGGCTGGCTGGCTGGCTGGCTGTGGCTGGCTCTGGCGTGGTACTACTACAACTTACTAGCACCAGCGCTCGCGATCGCAACTTCTTGTGGCTGGCTGGCTGCCTGGCCGAATGGCTGGTTGTTGGCCTGTTCGCTGGCGGGCGGCCTGCCTGCCTGCCTTCCTGCCTGCCTGGCCGGGACCCCGATCGCTTTTCTCCCAATCTCGATCCACTTCTCGCTCGCTCGCTCTCGCCTTCGCCTTCGCCTCTCGCTCGCAGTCCCGCCGCAACAATCGAGTGCGCAGTGCGCAGTGCTTCTTTCCTCTCTTCCTCCCGGCACACGAAACCATCTCTCTCGTGCTTCCCTACAAAAGCGCGCACTGGCTCCTGGCACCCACGGCCCCGGCCCCAGCCCCAGCCCCGAGGCCCGCACCTTCGCCTCCCGTAACTGCGTCGTCCCGCCGGGACCTTGCCGACTCCTCCACGGCCCACCACGTTCCCGCCGTACCAGCTCCTTCCCGGGTTCCTTCGACCGAACGCCTCCGCGAAGTCTTCGGATTCCGGTGACTCCACCGTGTAGTGTCCGCTAGAGGCAATTCCTGAGCCCCGGAGGGCCCATTAATGTACGCCCAAGTACAGTACCGTATGGCGGAGGATATTATAATTACGCACCGTTGAGAATTGCGCACCAATGGGCGACTGTGGGTAAATGCGGGTAAATGGTTGGTACTAATTTCCGTCCAATCGATTCACGTACTCTCTTGGCGTCCGGTTCCGCCTTCAGTTTCGGCCTAGATTCGCGACGAATTTCCCGTCTTTGGGTTTCATTCCAGTTCTTTTAAACAGCGTTATAATGATTGAATGTTCGCATGTTTATTTGACTGATTTTCATCATTCGGGTTCAAGCGTAAGACTCAGATTGACCTTTTCCAAGTGATGGGTTCATTTCTGGAGGTTTATGGATCAACACAATCTAAGAATCAGGAGTAAAAATAAGTACAGTTTTTATCAAATAAATCGCTAATTTTTTTTGTGTTCTTAAATTTTTCTTCAATCCGTAAGAGCGAAAAATTCTAGACACCCTTTTCTGTGTTTTGAGTACTGCTGGTGCGCAGATTCATATCTGCGCACCAGAACTTGGGTGGACAACGGGTTGACTATATTGGCTCCAGAAGTCACACAATAAGCACGTGTTGCCACTAAGAAAATCGGGATAACGAGAAGACAAAGGAGTTTCGAGCAATGCGTGGATACATATGTGGCATTTAATGAGACAATCTCGTGGCGAAGTCACATGATGTGTGATGGAACGCCAAAGAAACATACATCATGTAAACCTTCAATTAAAAGAACTATATCATTGTTCATTCTATGCAAAGATAACAAAAGATACAACTTGCAGTCTTTGGTGGGTGCAAGTTCTATGTACGGGTAAAACTAGGGAGGCTTGAAAATGTTATCAGCACCATATCTTAAAAATCCCATAACATTTATAAGTGTGAAACAAACACCATCATAAGCACCAGTTGTGAGGAGGAGTTGTAAATCTTGAAAAAGAAAATTTCGAAGTCTTACCTAAAACCAACATTTAGAGAAGACAATTCGTGTAACAACAAGATCTCACTGAACTTCTCTTCACTTCATGTATCTGAATTTAATAATTCTTCCATGAAGAATCGGACCTCTTTTAACCAACCCTTATGGAAAAAAAGAACGAGCGGAGGTACATCTTCATATAAGAACAGCTGGCTAGTGAGAAAGACTACAGTCACAATCCTTCACTGTCTTATTCCAAGCATTGTTGTAAGTTAAACTTGTGAAATGTAGACGCATGAGGGAGAAATCCATAGCTAATACCCGTAATCTAGCTGATGTAAAGAAAAAAAAAAAAGGCACAAACAAAAAATGGGAGATTGATATTATTCGATTGTGCATGGCTCATCTTTCGTATCACTTCTCAATCATCCACAGAATCCGTTCATAAAATAAAAATACACCGGATGGTCGAGTATAAGCTCTTCTCGAAGTATAATAATAAGACGCGAATGGTTGCGCTTACCTCTCTCATACAGAAAAAGCCATGCTCTGTACTGTACTCAATAACGTACCATCCATCAATAAGGTATGCCATACTCGAGGTCCTTCTTGATGGACGATCACATGCACAAGTCGTTGCATCGTGTTGTGGGGTCTTCTGGATCCCCTACTGTTCTCCCGAATATTACCAGAATCGCGATGGGTGTGGATTTTAGAGGCCGCGGCCCTTGCACACACCGTAACACATTGCTCGGTCCCTGACCGGAAGCTAACCGTCGATCCGTCCCCGTCCTTCGTGTGCTTGTGTTGCATGGAAAAGCATGCGAAATTGTGGATCCGCTGAAGGGAGCACGACATGAGGGAGAAGTAGAGCGATTCTCGCCACATCTGTGCCGGGGAATCGTACGTCGTCAGTGGGGGATCGGAGCACTCCCGTCGGTCACGGAACTCCTAACGACAGTCGGAAGAAAGAGAGACATGAGCGCCGGCCAGCGCCAATGGCTACTGAACGCACGACGACCAGATGGATCCGCATCAGCGCTGCGGTCCCATATCCTCGCCGGCCCTCCCGAATCAGGAAAACCATAACCGCCTTTGCCATATCTTCCATTGATTGAATATAACGAGACTTGCAGCTTTTACATTACCCGTTCCCACGGCCATTTCTGGTCCTCCCCCAGTCCGAGCTCTGCAGCAAAGTGTATTCCATCTCGTACACGGCCTTTCCAACCATAATTCCTGCATTTGTATCCCTCTACCTTTTCTTTACCGCTCTCAGAATTAAGCTCTTTCGATGACTTTCACTTTCTTAATCCCCTAAAATCTATTGCAACCTAACTCTGCTTCCTTGTCCTTTCATTGAACAATAATTCCGGCTCTGGTCTTTGATTTTGATTAAGTCTTGGTTTCGGACAACATACATGAAGGGGGTTAAATCCTGGGTACCTTATGAGCCCGTGGGGTGAAAGTGAAACATTTGCGAACTACTCTGCGAAATGTTTTCTTTTGCCAGTGTCAGTGTACAGTACGTACAGTACTGCGAAATCTCTTCAAGCGTTCTATGGCCGGAGCAGAAAGCAAAGGATGGTGTCGATACTCTGCGGATTACGTTCTCCCTATTTCCCTCGGCCTTGAAATTTCCCCTGATGGAATTTGCGATGCCAGCTGATTTCTCCGCCCGAATGTACGGCGGTAAAGGACACTGTCGGGTCCAAATTTTGCACCAAGTCTGCCCATTCAAACGCCAACCGAACCCTACAGGAAATCATCATTGTTACAATCGCGCGGTCGAGGAATACGAGGAGGCCGTTTCCAGATTCCCAACTTCCGCCCACAGCAGTCACCGAAGCACTCGAGAACACATCTGAACGCCTACGCCGTTGAATGGACAGATACCTATCGACAGGAGGTGCTATTTCTTGACGGGATCAAAGCCAAAAAATACGGGTCGCGGTCCACGGAGGAGGAGGCCGGGGAGAGCGTCGCCCGTCGTCGTCTGCAGAGTCCGCCTGGCACTGGCAAACGCTCGTCAGTCGATGAGCTCTAGAGGTGGGGGCGGGGCTCGTTCTACTGGTGCGTTCAAAGTTCAAATGGCCGACTGTCAGGCCCTCGACTCACCGGCTTTTTACGCCCTGCCGCGGGCGCCAGCGGGTCACTGTGGGGGGGGGGGGGGGGGGGGGGGGTAAGGATGGATGCGGGGGGCGGCCCGCGAGGGGAGCGAGCGCCCAGTGCCCGCCCTCCTCCTTACACCGAATCGGGATCAGAATCCACCGGTTCTCTTCCGACGTGGTTTAAAAATATTTGAATTTCTGTTCCTCGTCTGACGGGCTACCTCGCGCCGCAAGTAATTTCCGTTGCAAGCGTGATCAATTGTGCATCCACTTCCGTCACCTGCTACGCTCCCGACGCACGCATTTCATCTCCATTTCCATTCACCCCTCGGGTCCGGGAAACTCCTTTCGCATAAGGACATTAATCCTCGCCAGCACGTGGACTAAGCATTTATTGTAAGCCCGCAGAAAAGACAGGTTCACATTGGAGTATGCGAGGGATTTCTAGACTTTGTCTTCCGAAGCGACTAAATTAGATCCTGAGCATCGGCCGACGAGCTGCTGCTTTATCTTGGAAACCAAGAAAAAGGAACTCGGACGATATGGTTTTCCATGTATATATTATAATATTAATGTGGTAACCTACGTCATAAAATCTGCCCGAGAGCAGAGAACATGGGTGCGGAGCTGTGAGGCGACTTTGGTACAGTGCAGAAGGGTTTAATCTGGTAATAAGAGAATACTTATGTCCCCATTATTAGACCGGACGAGTGATAAAGTACTGCCCGTGTCGTAGTTTTCCTCGATACCATAACTGGCCACGTACAGTACAGGGTGTCAGACCACGGTACCAAGGGCGTCACCGTCGGCGAGCTTCGGCTTCCGTGAGCAGCCCTGCACTGCGTTTCCCTACCGCAGTTCCGGCTGTCGACTGTGAGCGGTGCAGATAGATGCTGCACATGAACTACCAAGGGTGACTCGCATGACCGACCTCGTCGAAAAGCCGTAACTGCAGTCAGAAGTGGAGGATGCGGTAGCGTGGAACTGAATTCATCGGTCTGTACTATCTTCGTCTGTCACTGCATTTGGGCACAGAAAATCTGGCAACCACCCGGTTCAGGGAACCGATTAGAAGTTGACGAGTGCTAAATGCTATTATTACCCAATAGACGACGTTGTCTGACACATATGTGGATCAAGCCATATACAGAGCTGAACTCCAGTTTCACGACCGTCGACGGTTTCACACCTCGCTCCGGAGGCGAACGTCCAGATATAGTGGACAAAGTAATCTAGCAGATAGGACGGGAAGACTGTACGAGGTAACATGGGGCTAGCCAGTGTACGACAGGTAACGCAGTCAAAGTTGTGTGAATTGATCAGTAGGGTGAAGGGTTATATATTGTGATGTTATGCACGAGTGTAAGTTAGATTGGTTTTTTATTATATTTCAAATTTGTTGTAAATATATAAATTAACATATGAAAAAGAAAAAAAAAAGTTCGTTACACTAAAGACTTCAAAATTTTAACAACTGGGGTCTAAAATTAAATTCTTATAGGTAGGTAGATATATATATATATATATATCTCATAAGTATGCATTTACTAGTCAAAGGTATATCAACGAACTTAAATATGAATTAATATCCTTACTAACCATTCAATATAATGACAAATTGATCAAACTTACTCCATGTATCTTTCCAAAACACAAAGAGTTTTAGTTTTATCAAATGGACCTCACCAACGGCACACACCTTTCATCATCTAATATTGACCAAGAGCGATTTCTAACACAATGTTTAGAGAGCGGGCAGTGAGAGAAGAGGAGGAACGACTAGGGACGGAGGAGGATCTGAATGCCGCGGATGGTTGCAATTGGCAAAAAAAATCCAATCAATGATAAATGTTTGATGTTGTTGCTTCATGAACCAACTTACTAAAGTTTAGAGAGCTTTAACAGTGACTGCCATATCTATGATTCAGAATAGGGTGGTCTTCATAGCTATATTGTACATGGATTAATCAGAAATCCATCACGATTGTAGCATTCCACACGTTTTATTTCTATTTTTTGTTCCATAAGTGCTTGAGCATATCACATAATTGTCTCTAATAACTTTGGTGACAGGTTTAATAAGCTGGAAGTCTAGAAAATATTATAACGTTGAAAAACGTAAGAAAAATGTAAAATGTTTGAACTTTCATCTTATTTAGAGTTGATGTGTTATGATTAAGCAAAAAAAAATTAAAACGAATCTCGTGACGATCATCGAAAAGTCCTAGTGACACAATAACTAATCTAGTTTTGAATACTTTCCAGCCAGTACACTAACTCTTGTTGATGCATTTTGAAGTGACAAATGAACTTTGACAATTTTCAATGTCTAATACACTATCAGTTGCATTACATTTGCAAACCTTGCAATCAATTTGCAATTCCAAGCGATCAATTTTCTCACAACTTGTGCTCTCGATGGAATCACATCGACAACACACCATCACCAAGTTCAAAACAAAGTTCTTGTGATTATATTCTCCGGACTATAATGTAGGGGAGTGACTACACCCATCGAACTATAGTTGGAAAAAAGTATACATTATGGATCTAATAAGCTTGTTATGTTTTGAAGTGGTTACATCAAGTAATTTTTCCCAAGATAAATTCAACTTTTGTGTTTGACTCCTACAAAAAAAATTTTAAGTCCTAAACTTGAGGTAATTAAAGTTTAATTATGGTTTGCAAGAATGAAATATGGGTTGAGAACAATCATTTTGAAGTTTAAAACTCTCATATTCATAACAAAATCTTTCAAATTATAACTCTATTTAATGAGAGAATATTTAAATTTCACAAATATATTAATATATATGATAAAAATGATTCAAATTGCATATTTAATTATAAACTATAATTTACATTGATATTAATTCAAGTTTACCTTTGTAAATGAAGTAAAAGATTCAATACTTTTGATACTTTACGAATTTATTTATTTTTATCTCAAAAGTATATATGAAACACAAATATAATTAAAAAGTTGAATCATTGAAATGTTCATATAATGTACAACATCATTACAGATTATCATGATATATTTTTCAATAATTATAAGCATTATAAGAAAAAAATTAATAATTATGGCTAAAACAAGTTACACTTAAATCTAAAATTTTCATTTTTATTAAAATACAAGTCATATTAATTAATTTATTTTTCAATAAGTTAACATATTTATTTCAAAAAAAATATTCTTATAGTGAAACTATTTAAATTTTCATAATTGCTATAATATTAGTAAATTCAAAAAAATAATTTAAATTAAATATTTAAATTTATTATATATATTATTTAAAAATAAAAATAGTAAAATTTCATTTTAATATTGATAATCTTATCAACGTTGATATTTTTTTATGATACTTAAATTTTAAAAACACATCAATAACAAAAAAATATTATAAATCGATGCATAAAAGTTAAATATTGTTCACCATTTAAATTAACATTAAAAAAATTTATTTTTTCTCAAAATGTGTTTTTTACATAAATATATTTTTCTAAAACATATATCGCATTTCTAGTTTATAAGGCTTGAGTGATCTCTTCATACTCCTTTGTGGCTTGTGTCATCTTGCTCCATCAATTAGCCTGAATTTTCACTTCTATAACATGATTCAAACAAGACATGCGTGTAAGAACGTACGGAAGTTGCTTCTTGCTCTCCACGTACACACGTGGAATACGGACACACATATTTCACGTGTGTACGTATTGCACGAAGAGCATTAAAGCTCCATAAGGTGAAACACTTGGTTGAATGAATCCCTTGCTCAACAACTCATCCACTTGAACTTTGCATTTTTCCAATTCGTTTGAAGCCAAACGATATGGAACTTTGCAAGTTGGTGTACTTCTAGGTATCTACTCAATCTTGTGATCTACTCGCCTCTTTGGTGATGATCCTACAGGTTGACCATGTGGAAAAACATCTTTATAGTATATAAAAATGTCGTTCAAGAACTTCGAGATGTAAAGTTTGTCTGTGGACCCAATATCTTTTATAATTCGAAGGAAACATATATCATATCTAGGATTGGATGTTTTATTTATCACAAAGAGAGTAAATTCCTATTCTGGGATCCAATTCTATCTCCATAGATCTTTTAACCACTACTTTTAATCATTTTTCTTCTTCAATCTACCTCTGGATTATATTGCTCCATCCATGGCATTCCAAGTATGACATCACATCACGGTAAACAAATTATTGTCCATTCAATGCTCTCATTGTATCTATCTATGAATCATTCTACACTCGGTGGTAGTGTTTTTATCACTTCAGTCTGCCCGTTTGGCACTTCAACTTCCTCACTCATGTACTTCATCAACATCAAAACTAACTTCATAACAACACTTATTGATAAAAAATTCTATGTTGTTCTAAGATCAATTTGTTGAAAAAATAATCAACGCCGACTTTGCAACATAGAAGATTTCAGAAATTTCCGAATTCATCAAGAAATAGAAGCTTCTAGAATTTTCCAGGTTTATCAAGAAAACACTTCAAATAGATTTACTTCTAGGTTGCTATAGAATAATCTAGATTACTTCTAGTAGAGAAAGATCTAGAAGATCTTTCTAGAATGTTGTCATGAGTCTATAAATAGATAGGTTGTAGGTTCATTTAAATATCAAGTGATCAACAAGTGGTATACGAGCCATAAGGTCCGAATTCATCACATATTGGCAAGAATGGATATCTCTCATAAATTAACTAAATACGTATAATTTAGTCTTCTCAAAAAAATTATTTTAGTCTATTCAAAAACATTAATTTAAGCAAATTTAGTCTCCTTACAATGTTCATTTAGGATAATTTAGTCTACCAAAAAGGTAATTTAGATCAATGTAATTTTTAAAAATTTAATTTAGGCTAATTTTTTTTACTAATTTTTTTTTCAGA